CACCGACTTTGACTGGCAGGAGGTTAGGATGGCGGCCAGCGAGCTGGGGGTTGGCTAGAGACAGTAATGATGGTCTGCAGGAGGGACAGGAGCTGCTCTGTGGGTCAGAGCTGGGTTGAATCCTGACCCTGGTACTTATCTCTGGGGCATCAAGCAAATTCTGTATTCTGTCTAAGCCTCAAGTTTCTATCTGTATCTGTATAATATTGCTCATAATGCCCACCATAGTTTTGCTGTGAAGCCTAGGAGAGTCAGCTCAGGGGCTTGAGGGCACCAGGAGGCTGTCAGTAATCGTAGGTAGGCATTCTTATCATGTCAAGATTTAGGAATATGGGGCATGTCTGGGCTCTAGCATATATCTTGATCTGAACCAATTCTTGTTTTCTTTCTCACAGGTGAGGCAGGATCTGACAGGCGACTAGACTGATTGGCACGGATTACGTCTTCAAAATGGTGGAAAGAGATCGAATCCTGACTCTGCCTTTCCCTAGTTTTCTGATCTTGGGCAGGTTACTCACTTCCCTGAGCACCAGTTTTCCCGTCAGTTTAATTGGGCACGGTGATAATTACTCCATAAATGTGGCTGAGGATTTCATGAGACACAGTATACCAGGCTTCACTGGTTGTGTCTGACAGTGTAGACAGCTATTAGCCAATTAAATCTGCTTACTTTATAATTATCTGCTGACTAATGAGAGGAAATAGCAGGGTACTATTCCCAGACCACACTAAAATGGACATAATGTGTGGGAAGAGATGTAGAAAACATTAGTTTTGTGAATAATAAGAAATCATTGATGTAGCATAACAAGTCTCATTTTTTTAAAACTTTTCTGGTGAGGCAGCTCCTTTTTTTCATCGGGGCCGTTGGTTCAAGTGGAAGCATTTTACTTCTGTGTCTGAAGGCCCAGCACCTTTCGTGGAATGATGAGAACAGTCTCTATGGAGTAGCCTGAAAACAAGCACAGCAACACTCACTATCAATTTTTATGTTCTACTGTACAGCAAAGGTACAGCACTCAACATTTTTCTTGCTTTGATGTAAAAATAGTAATTGTTTGAATTGCTAGAATAATTATTATCTCCAGTGGAAATCCGATCCTGTCATTCTCTGTTTTTTTTTTTTAAGATTTTATTTAATTATTTGTCAGCACGCGAGAGAGACAGAGACAGAGAGAGCACAAGCAGGGGGAACAGCAGGCGGAGGGAGAAGCAGGATCCCCACTCAGCAAGGAGCCTGATGTGCGGCTCCATCCCAGGATCATGACCTGAGCCAAAGGCAGATGCTTAACCTACTGAGCCACCCAGGTGTCCCTCATTCTCTGGTTTTAAAGCTTCCTGTGGCACTCTGAAGTCTGCTTGTGGAAATTGGTACCCCTCAACGTGGCCAGTTATAGTGTGGCCCCCTCTGACACTTAACCTTTGTTCTTTGCCTCTTATCTTCTCACTTCTCACTGCTTTTTCGATATTTTCATTACCTTAGGCAGCTTGGTTGATGATTTGTCTCATCAGCATGCTTTTTGCACATGTGGTTCCCGCTGCCTGCAATGCCTTTCCTGGAACCTGCCCCGCACCCCTGTCACCGGCACTTTTCCGGGAATGGAGTTTGTTAGGTGCCCCTGCACACTGTTTCCACAGGAGCCCGTACACACGGCCATCTCAGTACCTATCACTCATTTCATCGTCCCTCACTGGGATGAATGGACATGGAAGCCAGGAAGTGGGCCTGGCAAAAACATCCTCGAATTAAACCTCTATTGTATGAATATATGAAGCCTAGCGATCACTCTCTTATTTCCAATAGGACTGGTACGCCTCTTCTGATATGTTGGGAGACAGGGACACAGACACCAGTTCCTGATGAGAAATCACAATCAGGGTAAGATACACATCTTCTCTGAAGGGTGAGCTAAGAACACAGCTGAGCAGATTTGCATCTTGTGATCCGTTTTCACAGGGTATTGTACGCACGTTTGGTACGAGTAAATTTGGTGACTTAGAGCAGGCTATCTTGTGGATTAATGGCTGTGTGCCAAGCCCTGTCCAGCATAGGTCTACCCAAGTACAGCCCTGGCGTTCCTCTGGGGATCCAGACTTCTCTTCAGTCAACTTTTCTTCATTACATGGATTACGTGGGTCTTACCACATTGAGTATAAATGTCAACCAGTCCTAGAGATGTGTAAATCTAGGCGGAAACTGGAAAATTAAATTAAGCTGACTGTTTGACATTAGATAGGAAAAACACACAAGCAAAGGAGGTTCTGTCAAGAATTAATTATTACTTTTCTTTGAGTTCAGCTGGCTTGTATGAATATAGAGATAGACTCAGTACCCAAAGCAATCGTGGAATTAGCAGAGTGGGGCCTGTATCTTAATCGCTCTCTAGATACAGGTGAATCACCTGTTAGTGCTAGCAAATTTTCCCTTACATCAAAGGTAGCCACTGTTCTGGATGTGTCTACTGAACCAAAGGCTGTGACACTTTGTCAGTAGGCAAAAAATCCTGTCCACTAGGGATGAAATAATAAGCCAGGCAGACTGGTTGGCAGAACCAAAATGCATCAGCACTACCCGACTCTGGGGTAGTCCACCTCAGCAGAGGTCCTCCGAGACAGCGCTTTTCATGGAACGGCAATAACGGTCTCAAAAGAGTAGCCCAAGAAAGAGCACAGCAAAACTCATTATCAATTTTTATTTCCTACCATACACCAAATGTACAGCACTGAACACAATTTTGTTGCTTTGATGTAAGAAATATTAATTGTTTGAAGAAACAGTATACAAACAAGCTACTTCAAATTAAAAAAATGCATACATCATTGCCTTTTTGTTGTTTACAAAAGACCCAATTTACATATCTATCATTAACAGAGTCGAAAGGAAAAAAATCAGTGCACATTACAAAACACATCAAGTACAAAGGAGGCAAATAAATACAAACATACTTCACAAAACAGTCTGCTCAAACTATGCAAACACAAATAAATTAACCCGAAGTCATAGTAAATTATTGTAATAAATACATAGGTTGGTAAGAGATTTCTTTTAAATTAAATAAAATATATAACAAACTTGTTAAAATATTTAGCAAATTAAACTTTTGTCTTTGTAATAAGTGAACTTATTTGTATGCATCTATCAAGTACTGTATAGCAAAATGTTTGCAAGTACATAACTTTAATAGAAAATTTTGTTTGGTGTCCCATTTATAATAGACAGCACATATGGTAGCTCTTTTTTTAAAAGTGATTTTTAAATAAACACCGTTCCTACCTAAGAACAGACATCTCATTTCCACTAAACTAAGATTCAAGGGTTCAAATGAACCCCAAACCGAAGATAAGCCCCACCTTAGTACATAACAATGACCACAGTGTCATGGGAGTGGAATTACTGTTGATATTACTTTTCGTTTGTGCAGGTAACAGTAATAACAGTGGAATATATCAAGCCTGTGAGTGCCATCACATTCAGTCTACATATCCATGAGGCTAATAAAAAATAAACACTTTTGTTATAGCACAGAAAATTAAGCCCACACTAAGTTCAAGTGTCCATTTACACAGAGGCACATTGCACACGAGGTGTGTGTGCACACCAAAAAGGCAGTTTAGCTGGTTGTCTATACCTTTTTCTTAAAAAAAATAAATATAAAAAAACTTCTGAAACAATGCTTAACTACTTTACAGTCCCTGAAATAGACATTGCCTTTACTATAGCAACTACTAAACTCTGATCCATCCAGAAATTCAAGATTTCATGCGTGTGTGGGTGTATGCGAGTGTGTCCCTCTGTGGGTGTGAATGTGTATACATTGTAGCACTTGTAGTTCTATGGAAAGATTTTTATCAAATTGAAAGTTTCCCTGTTGCCTATGGAGGGTAAGACAATGTCGCCAGCGTTTAAAGTAATGACTTGGATAGGAGTAACGTTTTTTTTTTTTCCCATGTGTTACTATATTTCCCATTCCTTTCCAGTCCACCCAGTAAGATAAATGCTATTTCAGGGGATATGGTATCTACAAAATTTTCCATTTGGATGTGTTTGTATTTGCTAAGTACAAATCTACATCAATATTGTCACTTGTATATTGTACCAACATATGGCAGGAAAGCCTGGCTGGTCACATCAAGTCTTATTTCTCATCTTGGGATAAGAGTTGCCAACTATCTGATATGACTTGAAAAACAAACAGACAAATCTGCATCACTAAAAAAGCTTATGTTTCTTTAAAACATGTCAAATAAATAATTCATATTAACTAAAACCGTACAGCCAAGTCGAATACTTTGCTGATTGCTCTATTTAATTATTGCTAACAAATTCTGAACAGGCTGTTTTCCAGTACACTGTGCTTCTGTGAGTGCGCATTTCCCACTAGTGGGCGCCATTTATCTTCTTATTTCTTCCCCGCACCTCACGGCAACCCCATTTGTAAATACAAAAGCCAGTGAAAGGGAGGAAAAGAAATGTGCAATAAAAATCAAACTGGACCATAGTGCAGTCCTTAGACAAGGATTTCCTTCTTACTGTTTTGTTTTCTCATTTAAACCCAGCAAGGTATGTGATTTGAGAATAGCATTTCTATTTAAATTCTATTGGAAAATAAATTAATAAACACACTTGTAAAAATATGGCAGACTTCAAAATGCAGTTAAAAGATAAAAAACTCTTTGATTAGAAATAAATAAAATATAAAAATGTCACATTTATTTTACATATACTTTACAAAAAAAAACCCAAAAGAGTGCAATGAAGAAATAAAATTAAAACATATGAAAATAAATAAGATTTAATATTTGACTGCATTGCTTTTAATCCAAAGAGTCTATCATAGTTTTTCTTTCCTTTTTATGTCAGCTGGGGGAAAAAATTAGTGCAATGTTGCAATTGTAAATGCAGTACGGCAACCTACGTGCCTCAGCAGCACAGGAGCCCCTTCAGATCCGTCTGTGTTAACTGCTGTTTGTAATTTCTGTTGCCCAGCAGCGCTGTGGTCCTACACATGGATGCCCTTCACTGCCTGTTTGATACTTTCCAGCAGAGCTTTGCATTCCGGGGAATAGTCCCGTTCCAGATTGCTGTACATGTCTGTGAGTGTATTTACATATGCTTCAAAATTCTGCTCACTGATAGGCCCCTAAATGAAGACAAAACACATTGAACCAATCAGAGTCACTCAGGCTAGGACAAAAGAGGACCGAGTAACACAAAGAGTATCAGTGACTCCAGAGTCTTAAAGGGAAGGGAAGGATCCATATGACTGCTGGAGTTTGGGGAGATGGAGAGAGACTGAGTGTGTTGGGATTCATCTGTTCACTCTTTACTCCATTAATGGGATTGCTATGATTGTCAATATTTTGTGGATTAATTAATTTGGAGCCGCATCAGGTAGATGTCTGGCTACTGAGCTGGACCCCTCAAAGGTGCACTGCTTCTATGGAGAGGATGCCTCAGCTTCAATTGCACATGCTCTGCATAACACAGACCTCCGTGTGAGGAAGGCTTTGCTTGAGCCAGGTGGTTCTTTTGACAGCACTGGGCTGGAATTTAAGGCATGTTAAGATCTGAGCAAGTTGCTCACTAACCAGGTGGAAATTTTTCCTTTTTCATCCTCAGAGACCTTTTTGGCCATTTTTCCTTGTGGCATCATTGTAATATAACCCTGTATTTTTCTATCTCTGTTCCAGGTAGCACATCAGATTCACCAAGTCAAGCTCTGCTCTTATTCTTTTTGCGTGCTTTCGTAGCTCCTTTGCCTAACGTGGTGCTTCAGAGAGTGGTCACTTGATCCGTGTAAACTGCACGTGCGCCTGAAGGAAATGCATGACACAAAGGGCATGCTACTAACCATTTCTGGGTGCCTCCGTTTTCCCACCTTTTTGAAAACAATGTGACATGTGATTTACTCACTTCACAAAATGCTTGGAAGAAAGGATTTTTAGAAGGTCTAAATACTAGAGCTATAATGGATGCTATCGTTATTGCTGTTATTTAAAAGGTAGGCTTGCTAAATCTGAAGATTATCTTGCTGTGCTCAGTAAAATACTGAATTATGAGTATTGTCTAACCATGGTTTTCTGCTCCCTTTCAGTTTCGGCCCTTGCTGCGTCATGCATTTCTTGGAGAGTTTGTAACTGGACCAGGACCCAGGCGGCAGAGTAGATGAAGGCCACACAAAAAAGCCAGGCTCATCTGGCTTTGGAGGCTTGATCAGATTACATGAACTCTGAGCTCTGATTTCCTCAGTTACAGAATGAGAAGGCCAAGGCTCAGTCTTTGTTGTCTGTGTGAACATTTAGTGTAATCAGCCCTAAAAATCACCACTAGGTTGCCTTGCATATAGCTCTACAAGGTACAAGTTCTCTTGAATGGTAATGATTATTTTTATGGCATTTGTGAAGAAAAACATAGTAATGAATGCAAATTTCAAGAATGAATTAGACAAATGTTCATAAATAATATAATAATATCCAATAATTTACCTTAATACTGGCCATAAAGTAGTAATTTATTGTCCTTTGTGTTCTTTATTATTACATTATCGATTTTTTTTTTATTGTCAAGAGACACATTTGGAATTGGGTAAGATGAGGGCTCCATGCTGCAAAATCGGGTAAATTGAGGGATTTATTGCTTTCAGGTAAACCAATCATATTTTTTCGTTAAATTGCTGCTTCTTTAAATCATTCATACATAAAATTTGCAGCTTTAAAAAACTTGTTCTAAGGAAATTAAAAGCATTCAACAATGCAGCCTTTCTTCCAAATGTTTGTAATATGTATGAAAATGTGACAGGAACTAATTACCTATGAATCTGAAATAGTTGCCAAAACTCAAATATATGTTTAGATTTTGAAAATAAGGATGACTTGCTCACTTTTTTATTCCATATGAGAACTTAAGTATGTTCTTCCTACTTAACGCCAAATTAAAAACGCTTTTGTTGTTTTGTTTTTACAGTTCTTGAGTTGGGTGGATGGCACAAATGGCTGTAAACCCTCTAAGCTTTCTATTTGGAAATAAACTTTTAGTAAGGGAACTTTGGCCTCCGACCTTCATATTACATTATAAAGCAAGTTCTAATAAGTCCTCACCTTTAAATGATTCCTGCAATTTCAAAAGCCCTTGGCCTTCATGTAATTTAATGTACGTATCTGTCATCGTCCCCATGAGGGAGGAGGTTGTTGCCTGTCAGGTGTGACGGAGTGGGCGCCATACCTGTGCGGCTGCTGACGGGCAGCCCTTGCGGTGACTGCGCGCTGGCGCTGCGATGGAGCAGCCAAGGTCCTGCCTTGGACTTACCATCTGTGGGAGCTGAATGTCGGCAAGGCTGGAGATGAGGGCTTGGCTCAGGCCTGCCAGCTCCTTCAGCAGGCTCTCATTGTTCTGCTCTATGAGCCTGTTCTCCTCCTCTATTGTCTTTAGGTTGCTCTCCATAGATGTGATCTGAAATGGAAATAACTTGGGAATGTGAGCAGCCGGATTCTGAAGGAAAGGCATCCGCTGAACCCGACTGCCAAGGAGTGCGTACTCTGCAACTTCCCCTCATAAAATTGCAACCCACCACATTGCTTTAAGTTTTGGGAATCACATTCCCAAGTTTACATCTCTAGCCCAGACTTCTCCCGTAAATTGCAAATTCCACATCTCCACATGGCTACATGGTGGCCATCTCAAGCTCAGTATGTTCAAGAGTGAGCCTTTGCTACTTCCCCCAAACCTGCTCCACATGCAGTCCTCACCTTCCCAACTTGAACATCACTCAGGCCTCCGAGGTATCTCTGAAGGCTCTCTGTCTCTCATACTTTAAATCCACTGGGCTCTTCCTTCACAACACCCAAGATGGAGACTGTCCTCACCTACACTGCTGGCCCCTGGGCCCAGCCACCCGAGGGACTGTGACTGCCTTCTCATGGGTGACCCTGCACCTGGCTTGGCCCCACACAATCTTTTCTTGGCCTGTCTTCAACAGAGCTACCAATACAAGTCTCTTAAAATGTAATTCAGATTATAGGTCAAATATGATTGGGTTTAACCATTGGCTCAAAATCCCGTAATGGTTCTACATTCATTCAGAATAAAAACGGCCTGGGGTGCTCCATGTGTTACCTCTGGGACTCATCTCCTCTGATTCCCCCCCTTGCTCGCTTGCCTGCTGCCGTGCTTACTCTGATCTTTCTCAGAACTCTGAGCCTTCTCAAGATTTAGGGGTTTTGCACTTGTGGTTTTCACTGTTTGAAACACTCTGCCCCCATACCTGTTTGGTATGCTTCCCTCAGCTTCTCCCTCAGCTTCTCAAGTCTTTGCCAATATGTGTCCTTCTTCCTGAGGCCAGCCGGCCATCCTATTTTATATTGAAATCTGGCCCTGTGCCCTTGTCCCGTCCAGTGTGAATAGTCACTGATGATTCTTTTTTGTTATTATCTGTCTCCCCTTTCTAGACATTAAGCTCCCTGAGTGCTGTCTTCACTAACGGTTCTCAAGAGGAGTCCCCATAATTCGTAAACCAACGCATCAAGCTCTTTTGTAGACCTGGTTGCTGATACTAAAAGATTATGACACTGGTCACAGTGGGTAAGGAAACCAAACCTGCATTTCAGAGGGACTGAAGCCTTCTGCCTGAAGCTGCTGTGAGTGAGGACTTCTGAGATCAGTAACCAGAGGCCCCAAACCCCTGAGTTTCAGGAGACGACAAAAGAGGGAAAGAAACTTCTGTCCAGGTTTTGTCTCACTCTTCTTTTCCTTCTGATTTGTTGCAATATAGTCATTATTAATGTTTTTTAAAAAAAAAAAAAAAAACTCCTAGACTGAACTTTTATTTTCCATTTGGGTAAATCTAGTCATGGGGCACATATTACATAGGGGAATACAGAATTGAGAAACTGCTTGGATTTTTCAGTAAAAAATCTATCCAGAAAAACCTCCAAAATTAAACGTGAAAAGTTGCTCTGTTTATTTGAATTTTGAATAAAACTAACTACTCTCATATCTTCTTGTGACAATTTTTCTAACGCACCACGTGCTCTGCAGGACTCTACTTACACAGGATGATTGGCTTTATTTGCTTCTAAAGCCTTTAATGCACCCAAGGCAAAAACATAAGTAGCTTTGCCTACAGGTACCCAGTCAATGATGGCCCAGGGTGATCTACCTATCCAAGCTTTACAGTAAGGGTGTCATCGAGACATGCTCAGTGTATTCATTGTAAGATATCAGTTTATTTTTTAACACAACGTTTAAGAGTTTAGTGTTTTGCTTCTACTAATGATTGCGATCACTTTAAAGATAACTAATAGCTTTTCTGTTGTGTTATTGTTGCTTTTACCTGCGTCTGAAGTTTCATCATATCTGCTTCAATTTTAAGGTTGGATTCATTTAGTTCCTTTATTTCTTCATCCAAATGCCTAATTTCTTCATCACTCTCTAAACCTACAAAAAATCAGACTGAGTCAAAAAGAAAATATGAGACAGTGACAATATGAGTCATTTTATGTTTAAATTTGTGGTTTCCTAAGTGAAAATTAGACTTTAATTTGAAATGTTGAATTTTTACCCAAATCCATATCTAAGAGTCTAAAAAAGTGGGTTAAAGAGTTCCTTTGTAAGAAAAGGGAGTAGAAAAGTAATACCATTTAATGTAGTGCTGTTCTATTCCAGGTATAATGCTAGACATATCCGCAGATAATTTCTCATTTAAACTTCACTGCACACTATGGGGCATGTTCCAGTATACCCTTTTCACATATGAAGACACTGAGCCCTGGAGAGGCTAAATGAGGCCACACTCATCACTGACAGAAGCTGCATAACCTGCCTGCGTCCAGAGTAATAGCAGAGCTAGGAATGAATTCCAGAGCCCATGCACCCTCTCGTACACAGTGTTGAAGAACAGTTCTGGCACGAATTATGCTGATTAATTGTATATTTATTACCTGTGTGGGACCCTATGAACCATCACTGGAGGCAGAGCTAGGGTGCTGGCAGGGGACTTAGAGTCCAGGGACACAGAATTTGGGTTCCCTATGTAGAGTTGGATAAGGAGAAATGCAATCTAGGAGAAGGAACATGGACTTCAGAGTTTGAATGCGGGCCTTGACTCTTGTTCTTGAACCTGCACAACTTACTTAATTTCTTTGTGCCCCAGTTTCCTCTTCAATAAAATTAGGCATAAAATCTATGTTGTGAGAATTAATGCAGTAAATTATAAAGTGCTGAACATACAGTAGGTTCTCAATGAATGAGAACCTACTGTATGTTCATCACTATTTTATAGAAGGAATATGAATACATTTTAAGTATTTTTTTAAAGCTGGGAATGGTAGCTCATATTATTTTTTCAAAGATTTTATTTATTTGACAGAGAGAGAGATAGTGAGAGCAGGAACACAAGCAGGGGGAGTGGGAGAGGGAAAACCAGGCTTCCCGCTGAACAGGGAGCCCGATGTGGGGCTCGATGTGGGGCTCGATCCCAGGACCCTGGGATCATGACCTGAGCCGAAGGCAGATGCTTAACAACTGAGCCACCCAGGCGCCCCTGCTAGCTCATATTAAAGGGGACAGAAGCAGGATGTGAGGTGAGTTTAACAGTCCCGAATAATGAATCTGAACCAGAGAGATGATGACAACTAAGAGGGATAAATGTAAACTTCTGCATTTGGATTTAATAGGATTGAATTCATGACAGCAAGAATGAGGGAATTGACAATTTATTTGAAAGAGTTCTAGCCTCTTACACTGCCCTGTGGTTACTACTATGGAAAACAGTTCACTGTTCCCTGAAGGTGAACTTCACAGTGCTCTGTGACCCAGCAATTCCATCCCTAAGTACACACCTGAGACAAATGGCTGCAGGTGCACAAGAGGAGGCCTGCACAAGATGAACACAACACCTTCACAAAAGCCCAGCTTGGAAACACACCGCAGGCCTGCCAGAACAGCATGAATGACTCTTACCAATAACGTGTTAAGGAAAATGTAAGCCCTGACTGTTTACATAAAGCTTGATAAAGCAGGTGGCTGTTTTGTGGGTACTTACTGCTTTATTATAAGTAACTAACTACCTAAATTAAGTGGGCTATGCATGCACCAATGAAGACAGTATGTCACAAGATTGACCTAATACAGGGCTCTGAGATTCAATAAAGAAGAAAAGCAAACCAACAACTAAGATCCAGGTATTTTAGTACCTTGATCAATTTGAATATGAGTCAACAGTGTGACACAGCTCCTAAGAAAACAATAAACAATTACCCAGGACCACACTAATGGTTGTATAATATCTGGGACACAGGATTTATTCTGAATTGGCTGGCTGTATCTAGGGAATTGCATTGCATTCTGAGCACCAAGTTTTACTAGTTATTATCCTAGAACAGCATCTTTTCGCAGATGAGTGGGATTGAAATACTTGTTTTTGGCAACACCAGGGAGCATAGATTATCAATTAAACAGGTATTTTGAGTGCAATCAACACTTGAAATTCTTCTGGTTTGAGCAAATGAAAACTTCTAATGCTATATTTCTTTGCCAAATTGTTTTTCTTTTTTGTCTCTTTGTAATAAAATTCCACTCCAGAAGATGGTATTTTCTTATATAATATCTGGTGAGGAAGATAATAAGCAAGAAAACATGGATAAAATATGAAGAGCTATGAAGGAAACAAGCAGGGTGCTTTGAGAACCCTCACTGGGGAAGCCTCTTTGAATCTGAGACTTTACTGATACAGTAAAAAGGCAGGCATATGAAAGGCTTGGGATTGGGTTGGGATGAGCATCTCAGGGGAGGGAGTAGAAAGCACAGAAGCCTGGGATGAGAAAGGAATGGGAATTCTGCTCCCGGGACTGTAAGAAAGCCCCTGTGAACAAGGAAACAGGTCATGGGGGACCTCACAAAGAGCTTGGGCTTATTCTCCGTGCAACGGGAGCCAGTGAAGAATTTTAAGCAGGGGAGTTGATGTGATCTGGTTGGCTTCTCAAAAGCATAACTCAGTTCTGGGTAGAGAATGGGGTGAGAGGGAGACAGAGCAGAAACCAGAAGACAGGTGAGGAGGTTATCACTGGGGTCCTGGCTCATCTGATGGTCCTTTGCCCCAGGGTAGTGGAAGTAAGGGTAATAGAAGTGGACTCAACATAAAAGATTCGGTGGGATTTGCAGTGCTTGTGATGAATGGGAGGAAGGGGATGAGAGAAGGGAGGAATCAAGGAAGACAGTTTCTGCTCAAGCAGCTGGACAACTACTGGCATTCCGGGGATGAAGCAGACGCTTCCAGCAGGAAAATCAAAAGTTTATATTTGGCTGTTAAGTCATGGATGCTTGTGAGAAGACTCTGAGAGCCCGGGTTCTTGGTATTGAGCTCTAGCTAGGATTACATTCCCCTGGCATCCAATGTTATTGCAGACATTCAAGGCTCTTGACCAAGATGGGGCCATCTGGAAGATGCCTAAGAACAAAAGGTACCTGGAAACCTATGGGGTAGGTATGATCATGAGATGAGACCTCATAAAAGAAACATTTTGTCAGGATCTAACACATAATAGGCACTCCATAAATTCTCATGCAATTAATGAATAAGTGAACTAACGTTTTTGTTATGATTTCTGGGATTTGGGGAGATATTTTATTTTATTTTATTGGGAGGGTAGGCATTTTACCCAATCTTTTTGTAATTTTTTTCCATGAATACATTACCTTATCTATTTCTGTCCATCTATTTATCTGTCAACCTCCTCTCCACACAGTCTTTAAGAGCCTCCTCCAGAGTAGAACTGAGAAGATACCACAGATTTTGAATTTCACACCACCCTTGCAAATATGAACCCATTTGATTCTCTTAAGGATCCCAAGAGGCAGATACACTTCTTACCTCATTTTATGGATGGGAAAACCAAGGCATGAAGAGGTAAGTAGTAAGCAGTAGAGCTGGGATTCAAAACACAAGCTCTCTGGTCCCAGAATATGTTCTCTTAACCATTATAATGCTACCTTTACTCGTGGCTATTTAATCTGCTTTGAAATTATCAATTAAATGTTTGCACTAATGTTCCTTGACAAAAATATACACAATAGAATAGAGAGTAGAAATAGAGTGCTGGGTGAGACTAGCCATGTGTTGTTGACCAAGGAAATCGTATAAACTTTCCACTGAATATTTTAGTGGAACTATTTCAGTGGCCCTGTTCCTTTATAGGGTGTACCTGTTTAAAAGCAAAAGAATATGTTTTCTTTACTTCGTACAAATCTATGCCTAATATACATAATTAGGGATTACATAATTTAAAATAATACTTTATATTCTGTATAAGTTTTTAAGGGATGTAAATACTTGAATCTGGTAGATATGCTCAACTTTAAGGGGCTTTAAATAGCTGAGTTCTATCCAGAAAAGAATAATGTATCACAATATTTACAGCATGGTACTTTGCCACATGGAAAGAACTAGAAGGATCTACTAAATATAATAACATATACATAGGTCAACCATTATAACTTTTATTTATATCACAAAGAACAGAAAGGCAAGTATTTATTCATGTACAGATGTTCTAATTTTATTATCAAGGACCAGTAATGGTCTTTAAAAAATTAGCATGGCAATTTAATTATGCCAAGGAGGGAGAACTAAAGATCGATTCTTCTAAAATAAACGTAAACATTTTTGGTGTCGACCTTCCATGTTTTAACTGGTTTGTAGGTAAAATTCTCCTAACATGTTATGTAATCCAACCAATTGCCTGAATGATTTGTACCTATTTTAACTTAATATAGCACACCAAGAAGTTTAAAGTCATATGCACTTTATATTGCCATTTGATTTCTTTTTAGGATCCGGTGAATGTGGGGTTATACCTGTTTTATAAATCATCCAGGGAACCATGGCAGTGTCCAAGCTTTAAGGTAGGGGACTATGGAGATGGTACATCGTTAGAGAAGACCTCAAATGACTTTAGGTCCTCCCTGACCCTCCACTGACGACTGACTTGAACTCAGGGGCATTTTTCTTCACACACAAGTCATTGTAGGTTCTCAGGCTTCAGATGAGCATCAGCCCCGCCCCTAGCTTCTTAGATTATGAAAACGTGTAATTTTCCAGTTTCCTGGCCCATTTAGAATAAACACACTTCAGACACTTGTCAATGTGTTCCAGCCATCTTGCTGCTGCTCCACATCCTTTGAAAGCTCAGCTGAAGATGCTCAAGTTAAAAAGCACCCTTCAAAGGATGTGTGTGCAGTCCAGCTGCTCCCAGGTTACTATAACCATCTACTAGAGGGTTTGAACAGCACAGTGGAGCTGTGTGCACCCGGCCCACATCTCACTGGCACTCTGCAAAGCTTCACTAAAATTTGCTGTAGTGCCAACAGCTTACTGTCTTGATCTTATCTTTACTAGGAACAGTCTGGGATTTCTATTATATTTACTGTTAAAGGTGTTGCTGGGGTTCTTATAATGAAAACTCATAGAAAATATTTTCTTCATACACTCACTTCCAGAGAAAGTTTTGCTTTGAATTTACTCAATGACAGTGTGATTCTCACAGTGATTATATTCTCCTTTTGCTTTGGCATCTAAAAAGCTGAGAGTCAAATCTGAGATCCCTTTTTACCCACTGGGAAATGGGTACATTCCTGTTATTATCCTCAGGCTTGTCCCACCTTGCTTTCTTATCTTTGATCTCCTTTTGTCTCATTTTTTTTGAATTAACTTCTAAGTAGCTTTTTTTAAATGTAGCATTGCACTTTCCATCATTTAACTATTGCTTGAAAGGTGGCATATAAATAAATAAATATTAAATTGTGCCAGTTTCACAGAAAATGTGTTAAGAGGCAGTTGAGAAGTGGGCAGTATTTCCAAGGAACAATGAAAACATCTGGAGAAAGCACTTTTACTGAGCATCTAAATGTTGGAAAGAATGTCCAGCACAGTCCCTAGCCTCCCGAGCTTTTATTCCTCCACCACAGGCAAATTGACCCCCCCTCACCTCTTAGTGGTGGCTCCATGAGGGAGAGCAGACCCCTAAGGGGCCACTTTAGATAATGCATCTGACAGATGAAAGCCTCAGAAGGGAAATAGTAGGAAGCTCAAAAGTACTTCCCTCCCTCAGATACTGCATATCTTCTTTTAAAAAAAAATCATAGGCAAATTAAAAAGATTGGGCAATGCTTTCAAAGAAATAAAGTAAAAACAGTTACTCCATTCCAGTTATGTGCCAAAGACACCAACAAATCAATCTCCAAAGCAAAACAATGCTTTGCCATTGTTTAGATGATGATTTAGAATGATGATCTAAGAAAACAACATGTGCCTGAGATGATATTGATGAGAAATCTTAGGAAAAGCACTCAAGAATCGAAGGAAAATTGGAGGATCCAAAGATAGAGCTCAGAAACTGCATCTATTAACTTCTATAAGGCATTGACGCTAGAGAAATACAGATATAAATTTAAATCATCCAGATTCATTATAAAAATGTTTTGAGGATGAAACAAAATTTAAGGAGTCAAAGACAGATGCCAAAAACTGTATTTCTTGAAATTTGATAGAAGGTTTACACCAGGAACCCCCCCCCACACACACACACACATGCTCATGCAAAAGCTGTCATTTTGAGGACTGAAGGACAAAAGTTCAGCCGGTGTGTCTTAATCCTTCGAATAGCAATACTTGATTTTCTGTGTTAGAGATACTTACGAAAAAGGAAAGAAAAAAAAAAAACAAGAATTTGTTCTTTAGATGAAGTTATAGTTTTAGTTCAAATTCAAGGAGAGCATCCTTCTTGTATATTAAAATTGCACTTCCCATATAGAGAATAATTAGGCATGCGAACGCTTTGGGGAGCTACGGCTGAGACTTTGGTGGGGATGGCAGTCTCTAGCCCTGTGATCTTTTGTTTTGTTTTGTTTTTGTTTTAAAGGTTTTATTTATTTATTTGACACAGAGAGAGCGCGCGCGAGAGAGACAGCAAGCACAAGCAGGGGGAATGGCAGGCAGGGGAGAAGCAGCCTCCCCACTGAGCAAGGAGCCGGAAGCAGGGCTCAATCCCAGGACCCCAGGATCATGACCTGAGCTGAAGGCAGCCGCCCTGTGATCTTACCGCCAGTTGCTTTGAGCTTGATGGTCATTAGTTCTTCTGAGACCTTGCCCTTTTTGATGGCTTGTGCATTTAGAGGACATCCAGATAAGCTGTAAGGATAGAAATTATACCAATGTGTGAAATACATATTACTTCTTTTTTTAACACATGTTACTTCTTTCAAAAATTAAAGTTTTGTATTCACTACTTACTAGGTCTTTGCCTACTAATTACGTTATAATCTCCAGTCCCTTTGTAGAAATAACACATAATATTTATGAACACAAAAGCAAAGGCCCTCAGATAATGTAATTATGTTTTGTGTTTTTGCTCTTTAAATCAAAATTCAAATAGCTATTGCTGATACTATCATATAATTAATTTTGTTAAAATGTTACTATTCTGCGACCGCCTTCGGCTCAGGTCATGATCCCAGGGTCCTGGGATCGAGCCCCGCATCGGGCTCCCTGCTCAGCCCGAAGCCTGCTTCTCCCTCTCCCACTCCCCCTGTTTGTGTTCCCTCTCTCTCTGTGTCTCTTTCTGTCAAATAAATAAAATGTTACTATTCTGCATTCACACAATGCCTTTTTTTAGGAGTGGTTACTTTGTTTTCTGTAAACACAAAATGGTACATATATATCACAATTAAGAATTGTTCCAAATTAGTCAAAATTCCATGAATAATAAAGCAGAATCTAGTTCTTCCTGTTTTTTTACGTACTGTAGTCTGGTCTTTGCAGAATGACTCAAATTAATACAAATCCAAAATAATATGACCCCAAATAATACAAGCCCAAAATAATAAAAATAAACAGGTATATTGCATACCATTTGGGCATGGGGACATTTCTAATTTATTCTCTAACTTTTGAAACATTATTTTTCATTAAAATAAATCTCCACCCTGAAAGGAACCACTATAAATATATTCAGATGCGCTCTCTGTGGGCGGTGTATTGTATTGCAGTGGGGTTTACATCTTTTCCTTAATCTCTGTATTCTTTAGCTGTGCTCCCTTTCTTTAATGTCATCTGTTTTATTTAAATTGCACCAAAATGGTAATGACAACACTGAACAAAACTTGTTTGCTGTAGTAGGTGATGAGATGATTTTGTTGTTCTAAGCAACCATTCATTCTTTTGCAATTTTGTTGTATTTTTGGAGATACAATTTTCAAATAATGTTAAAAATTGTCACAATCAGCCACCTAGAATAGTTTTTCCCACAGAAATTTGGTTGCAATTCATGTACGAAATAATTATTTTCAATTCAAACATTAGGACACTTGGCAAAGTGAAAAGAAATATTTCTAAAGAATGGCCGTTAATAAATGTTTGCTACATGAATGTGTTTTTTTTTTAAGATTTATTTATTTCTTTCAGTGGGGGGGAGGGGCAGAGGCAGGGGAGAGAGAGAATCCCAAGCTGACTCCCTGCTGAGCGTGGAGCCAGATGTGGGGCCTGATCTCATGACCCTGAGATCATGACCTGAGCTGAAACCCGAGTCGGTCGCTTAACCAACTGTGCCATCCAGGCACTCCATGAATGTATTTTTAAGTGAATTCAGTTATTCTATATGAAGATTATATGAAATCTAAAAAATAATAGATATGTACTACTACATAGAAAAAGAAGGCTATGTGGTTTGCCAAAATTTGATAAATTATGAAATATTTAACACAGGAAAAGAAAATAATGAAAAAGCACAACGAGAATGATGAACTGGATTTTCCTATTTTGTAAGCTTCACTGTAAAGTGTGGCCTATATAAGTTTCATTATCTTTTTTTTTCTGAAACATTTGCCCAAGTCTGTCTTGTTTTATGTCATGTATATTGTTCTTAGAAAACAGTCATGAACAGAATTAATATTTAGTTGGTAAGGTGGATTTTAAAAGTGACCTGTAGTAGGGTGCCTGGGTGGCTCAGTTGGTTAAGTATCCAGCTCTTGATTTCAGATCAGATCATGATCTCAGGGTTGTGGGATCGAGCCCCACATGGGCTCCACACTCAGTGGGGAGACTGCTTGGGATATTCTCTCTCCCTCTGCTATTCCCTCTTCTCCCCTGCCCCTCCCTATCCCCCCACACTCACTTTCTCTCAAATAAAGCAAAAAAATCTTAAAAAAAAAGTAACCTGTAGTAAGTCCACTTGTCACATAATGGTAGTGGCTATTAATAGCTCAGCAGACCTTCCCTGACTCTGTCCTCTAAACAATCAGCCCTATTCCAACAACAAGGCAGTAAATATCCAGTTGCAACACGGTGGTGAGGAGAGTTAAGGAAGTGTGCACAGCTGTATGACTCAGAACCTAAGGATATAGTTAACTTATGAAAGTGAGAGTATGGTTTCACAATGTCACTTGATAGTTTATATCTTCTAATGTAGTTACATCTTCCAGGGTATAAAACAAATCTTAAATTTAAAAAAATGGGATGCGAAAATATTATAAAAAGTCATTTTTCCTTTTGAGGATGGTCACATCCTCCATGGGGCTTCAATCTGCTGCTTAAGAAAAGGTGGAGGTGTCACTGTCAAGGTTTGGGCTCCTTATTGCAAAGGCAGGAAAAAATGTCTTCTATGGTTTTGACCAATTTGCAATTTTATCTCATATCATGGCAATTTCAAACCATATCTTCATCCACCTTGTTAAAGTGAAATAGCAGATGATACAATTTACATGGACATCACTGTTTATATTAAAAACCTCAAAAAAACCTCAAAAAATGATAGCTATGGCACAGCACTAAATGAGGTCTATTTGTCATAGAAGTTCTAGTCCTAAGCTACAAACGTCCATCTTGTGTGTGTGTGTGTCGGTTGTGTGTCGGTGTGTTTTAATATAAAAGCATTTGTCTTCTCAGACTGCTATTTTTTCAAAGTAGAAGTTTGTCATGCAAGACTTAAAGCACAGTTTTAAAATAATTTGTAAATATTACGCTGAGGTAAATGCATGGATCAAATTGTTCTCAACCATCCTCTAAGGTAAGTTTTGTAATTATTCCCGTTTTGCTGCATGTTAGAGTGAGAAAAATTACAAAATTGACCTTACAGGGAATGGCTGGGGAAAGACTGTGAGGCTGGCACACAGAAAGATCCACTGAACACCAAGGATGAAGATGATACGGTGCTCGCAACAGGGGCTCTGCTGTCCCAACGCTGTGTGCAAGGGCAATTCCTGAACTTCCCTGTGCTTGTCCTCTTCTGTCAATGGAGGATAATTGTACCACCTCTGTAGCTCACAGGGTTTTGTAAAGGATTAAAGGAATAAACCACCTAAGGTACTTAGAACAGTGCTCTCTACTGGAACAGAGCATGCCCTGAATAGATGTTAGCTATTGTGAGGGATGGGAAAGAGTACCGAACAACCTTGGGGATTTGAGGGGCAAAATGTAGAATATATAAAAGTGTATCACAGGTCAAATCATGCTATTTCAGCATAAGTCATTCCTACTTTAATGAATTATTAATGAATTATTGCATATATACACATATGTTAATATAATTTTTATGAACGGGAAAGGAAATAGTCTGGGTCAGACACCATTATGTGCCAGGCTATAAGCTAGGCACTCTATTACATAATTTCATTACAGTCTATATATAGTAGAGAGAAGCAGTCCACCTTAAAGAGAATACCCCAAAGTAAATTCAGTCTCTTAAATCTTTCAAGTAGCAAGAGAACTCTCTAGTGAAGAACAGTGAAATCTGAATTATTCACTTGTTTTAACATATAATTAATAATTATTTTCTTTCTCCTAGAAGATAATATCTTGGCATTAATGTTCAAGCCTAATTTTTGAACTCGTAATTTTCTTTTTATTATGAAACAGGTAATATGTACCTAGATACATACAGTGTGTATTTGCAGTTTAAAGAATATTTTCAAGGTGAATACCTTTTACCTTCAAACATGAACGTGTTTGAAGCTCCCCATGCCTTCAACAGTTGCCTCTCTTGCCCCCAGACATATAACCATTGCCTTGAATTGTAGGTTAACGATTCCCTAGCTTTTTAAATGCAATTTTGCTACTTGTTTTTAACTTTCTGGAAACAGAAGCATGCCACACACAATTTCTCCCGCTCAACACTGTGTTCTAAAATCAGCCCAGGACACATCTTCATTGTCACCCGTGCATGGCAGCCCCCCCGTATGCAGATACCATGGTCTACTTGCATGCTTGACTTAGTGGGCACGTGGGTTGCTCCCAGTCTGGGCTTCACAGAACAAGGCTACCACAGACATTCTCAGACATGTCTCTGGGCTCCAGGGTGCAGGAGACTCTCTGAGGCATCAGCCTAACAGCTCAGGGTCTGGGTGGCGGGGCATGTCCATTTGCTCTTTTTCAACTGGACTCTTTGAAGGCACTTTGCTTCCTGAAGTGGCTCTACCAATTAATTACTCTTCCACTACGAGTCAGAGCCCCTGTTGTTCCCTATCCTCACCAAGCCTCAGGGTCATCATTTAAAACTTCATGATTTTTAAATAATTCTGTTGTTGCTGACTGAGGGATGCTCTCACCATAGTACAGCATTAACATTTCATTATCAGTGTTAACATGGATATTACTGAGTCCACGATAAGGAAGTCAAGCTACTGTGCAGTTAATATGCCATTAGGCACACCTGATTTGTGACTGTCGCTCCCAAATATGAAATGAGGATTCAAACTCAGAATAAAACAGTGTGCGCTATTGTGAAAATGACCATGCATTTGAAAATAAAAAAAATAAACCACTTTAAAAAATGTAGGGGGGCGCCTGGGTGGCTCAGCTGGTAAAGCGGCTGCCTTCAGCTCGGGTCATGATCTCAGGGTCCTGGGATCGAGCCCCGCATCAGGCTCCCTGCTCTGCCTCGGCGGAGGCCTGCTTCTCCCTCTCCCACTACCCCCGCTGGTGTTCCCTCTCACTGTCTCTCTCTCTGTCAAATAAATTAAAAAAAATCTTTAAAAAAATGTAGGTTTTGGGGCGCCTGGGTGGCTCAGTCGTTAAGCATCTGCCTTCGGCTCAGGTCAGGATCCCAGGGTCCTGGGATCGAGCCCCTTATCAGGCTCCCTGCTAGGCGGGAAGCCTGCTTCTCCCTCTCCCACTCCCCCTGCTTGTGTTCCCTCTCTCGCTGTGTGTCTCTCTGTCAAATAAATAAATAAAATCTTTTTAAAAAATGTAGGTTTTCTCGATAAGCAGATGCAGCTTTATATCCACTTAAAACAGCAATTCCTGGAAGGCTTAATTTTCTGATACCATTGACATGTATCTTTAAAACCAAACAAAATATAGAATGCCCCAGCTTTGCTCAGTTTGCATACTGCTCATAAGCAAAGCATCAGGGCTCACTAAAGCTTCATCGGATTTTTAAATCCGCATCGTGCACAGGGGCCAGAGGACTAGAAAGGTCCTCCTTGATTGGAGAAGTGTATAGTGAATCTTCTTGCGCCTTTTCTTTAGGTAGAATGTGAACCAAAAAGCTGGAATAAGATCAGTGTTCCCAAAAAAGAACTCCATTGAAATCCACGACACTCAGTGATAAAGGAATTAAGTCATTGTGGAACTATAAAGGGTTTTCTAAATCTCTCTCATCCTGTCGTATACTTAGTAGTCACTGTGTCATTCTCTTTCTGGTTGCTGGGGATGAGTCACATCTCCCCAGCAGCAAAATAACTACAATTTGGCCTGAAATTGAGCCAGTTCACAAGAGGGAGGGACATAAATATGTAAAGAGAAAGTTTACAATTACACTACATAATAGAGTAAATATCACCACTTGAAATTGAAGTGAACCATTAAAAGACTAAACCATTAAAAAATAGCAGCATAAGCAAATTTGAGAATACAAAAAAATGCAGTTTCTACAGCACTAAAAACTATGTAGCAAATTTTCAGAAACAGAGGAAATAGCATTTTTCATTCTTCAAAGGAGTCAAACATCTATCTGGCAAGACTCACTGCACCATCTAAAGTGCTATGATTAATGAACTCAAGGAGGGATTCCCCCTTCAACCCAAAGCCACTGAGGTGACACACAATCACAACAACAACAACAACACAACAAAAGGCAGAAAACAAATGTTACCTTCTGTGGGTGACAAAAACATTATTTACATGGCCCAGCCCATTGCAGCCTGGCAAGGGACAGTGTGGTAGCTCTTGTTTGTTCAGTTTCCAGGAGAGGGGGGCCCCATTGAGAGGATTCTCCTTCTGTCTCTTGGCAGCCAGGGGACAGCCAGAAGCTGTGCGGTGGGATGTGTATTTACCTGATATGTGACCTTGGCCATCACACCCTATCACAGGGCATCTAGAGAGACACAGCAGAGACATTACCAGCTGGGAGACACTAGATAACTCACATGAAGTGCTATAAGTAGGTGAATAAGAAGGCAGTGGCAATTCCATACGATACAGACAGCAAAAGGTGGAATTAAAGGGTTTTTTTTAAAGTGCTACTACAACCATCTAAACAGCATTGTATTAGCAGAAACAGTGGTCCACAGGCCTGACCGAAGCAAGGTTTGTGCACTATCTCCTGGAATCTTCACTGCAAACCCACTGGGCACAGAGAGTTACTGTCCCATTTTCTAGGTCGGGAAAATGAGGCTTATAGAGCTTAGGTAACTTGCCACCCATTTTACAAGAAGTGTAAAATGTAAGTGTAAAATTACTTACCACACCCACACTTTTTAGCTCTAGAGTCAACCACATAAGCCGTTCTATGCTGCCTCCAACCAAAGACCAGGGGTGTAAAATGTTAACTGCTTTGCCCTACATTACGCAGTGCATTGTTCATAGCACTGGAATGTTGGTTTTTAAATGTCTCAATAATGCATTTAGAAATGTTGTAGAGCACGAAATTTAAGATAAGATTTCACCTTAACAAAATTAAAGTTTTGGGGGGAAATGCTGCCATGTTTGTCATGCTTGTACTTCCACCATGCTGTTTTCTTTACAACAATTAGAAAAAGTATGAACTTACTTTTTTTTTTTTGCATTATCAAAGTACTGTGTACACATAGCTAGGAATAAGATAATTTTCTCAAGCTTTTAAACCCTCTGACTGCTGCTTCAAGGGTCCTTGCGTCTAATAGGGTGCCTCCCTCCAACCTCAATCAATGCTCAGTTGCATCCCAACCAACATCCCGCCCATTTGACCAACAAACTACATCTGACCACCCTTCAACTGCCACACCTTAACTACCACACTCACTTGAGTTCAGGGTCTTCTTTTTCTTCCTTTGTAGGAGTCATCTTGACACTACCTTTCCTGGCACGAGGGCAGCCGGACAAACTAAATAGCAGACAACAAGGAACAAAACCAAACCATGTGATCTCACTGGCCATTGCTATGGACATTCTGATTCCCTACTTCAGAAACGAAGTCGATCTTACCTTCTGTGGGAAGCATAGTTTCCAGTCACGTGCCCTGAACCATCACACCCCGGGGTTGGACACCTGGAAAATGAAGGAACAGAGTGCATGGGCCGCATGGTTGTAGTGGAGGGAGGGGGATCACGACACATTCAAATAGAATGAAACACAATGAGTTGCTTTCTGTGGGACTCTTTTTCCTTAAATATAATGAATTTTTGGCTAGGAATACATTTTTAAAGAAAATGTTAAGATACGTATCTCCTGGGTGATGCTTAGCAGACAATGTATTAGCTTTTATTCTACCTTCTTTTTTTTAAACTTTATTTTGGAAGGAACCTGTAATTCGGTCCACAGCCTACTGCTGGCCTTCTGTCTACATCATGCAAAGTTTTCCTTTTTTGCTTAAGAAAAAAAGTTTTCCAAATTGTTTTTGTACACAATTTATTTTCTTTGATTTGCTCCACTACCACAATAATCCATTAAATTCAGATGAACAAGAGTGGTATGTGTGAGCTCCAGAGACTTGGCACATTAATATAATTGCCAAAGAACCTAAGTCATTTGCACCTGGTCTGTTCTGCCTCATGGCCCAACTTAAATGGCCTTTTGGAAAATCTACCCATAGCTATTATCGACATTCAACCACTAAATTTGGAATGAAAAGGGGAAAAGAGGAAAGGGAATCCAATTCTACTTGGAATGCTGAGTAGGAATAGGCTTCAAAATACACTTGAAAGTAAAAACTGAATATCTAAAGAAGAGGTCAATAAATGTCTTTTTCTTTTTTTATAGAAAAAACTGAAGATGTTACTTATCAGATGGCTGTATAAAACATGTAAATACTGAATATTGCTATAGAACTTCTCAATCTACATGTTTTCAATGTGTTATCAACATTTTTTTCCTAGAAATAATGTTTAGAGAAACTACTTAAGAGAACCAATAGCTATTATTAAGGTACAGAAATGTATAAGTTTAGAACAATTGAGTAAAATTGAATAATAAATACTGAGTAAGTAAGGTAAGTAAGTCAGATTGAGTAAGAATGCCTGGCACTCCTCTATTTTCAATCTGTCAGTCATGTCTCAACCTAATATTCTTACATTTCAGTCTAGAAAAATGGCAATCTATAGCATGATTTCTAGAATCTATACTGACACAATCAACTGTACATTATTATTTCTCATATTGAATATGAGAAAAGTTGCGTGTTTCATAGTTCCCTTTACTATTTCTGGTATTAACATTCCCAAGTTTTATATCTGCTTAATATCACATTCACATCTTCTTTCATAAATTCATTCTTTGTAATTTTTAAGGAAATAATTTTAAACAAATTAGAAAATGGGAAGACTAACAAAATATTAAGAAAATAAAATATCTGAAATTTTACTTGTGATTTAGACATCAAATGTTGATTCTACTACTTATACAAATATTGTTTTATCATTAGACTTAGTAACACTCATTTTTCTTAAGATTATTATTGCAGATAAGTTTCATTAATTTTGTTTAAAGTTATTGCTTATCTTTTCTAAATTTATGCCCTATTATATTTTAAAGGGCATAAGGTAGATTATAACTTTTTATTATTCTGTATGTAATATAACAGTGCAGGAAAAAAAAAACAAGTGAGAAATTTGGAATAAAAGAAGAGAGGAATAGGAAAAATAAAATCAATAAGTAAAAGTTAATAAACACGTGGCTTTGAGATCCTAGGTTGAAATGTGCCAAAATTGTGTCTAGGTCCTGGAATTGAAAGACAGACATATGATTCAAAATTCCCATAAGGTAAAATATTATGCAGTTTACTTAAGATTAGATGATGAAAGTGCTTTGCCACACCTTCATAGGTCTGATTTAGTGTATAAATCTGAAATCAGCAGAAAAAAGTATTATGTTTAATAACTATTCTATTGTTGCTTTAAAATCCCCAAAGCAAGCAAATGAACTAAATTAAGTTACAATGAGTTGTTTTTAGTCATTTGGACTTTGCGGTGAAAGAATGCATTGGTTATAATTTAGTCAGTCATGATTTACTACTTGTTAGTGAAAACCCACATGGGTCTTGAATGAGGGGGAGTCCTAACACAGTCAATGAAGAGCTAGGAGGTCATGATTCCAATACTTACTTAAGCTCCTGAGAGTTAGCAGCCATGAGGGATTTAAGAGTCTTATCTGCTAAAGGACATCCAGAAACACTAAAGAGGGATGAGAAAAACAAAAACACACAACCCTGACATACACAGATCCAACTCAAATGGTGTTTTGAGTTTATGAACATATGCTAAATTTACTGGTGCCTGGGGATTGGGAGAAATATAACTAGGTTTGAATCGGGCTTTGCTACTCTAACCAGTGTTGGCTTGTGGACACCTCAGTTATTTCTCATAGACTCAGGTTTGCTATTTTATCAAATGAAGGGCTTTAACCCAATGAGACTCCCCAACTCTAGAATTCAGTAATACAATGATTACTGATTCGGAGTCCATTTCCATTGCACACCAAGAGGTGGTGGCTTAAAGGTCTAAACCGGTGCCCAAAGGGAAAGCAAATCACATCAATGAAGAAGGGAAGTGGAAAGATTAAATACAGCTTTTTTTTTGCTCTGTTTAACACCTTGATCTGGTATTTGCCCAGGGAAGAGGCTGCCACATTCCACAAGGTGAATGGTCAACCCAGGTCACTCTATTATCTTACCTTGGTTTCACTTGAGTCCTAAAGCTAGACAGAACCAAAGCCCTGACATAAACTCCAGCTTTTGGTTTATAACCTGCACAATAGGATCAGAACATTATTTTTAGCCCAAAATCATGATTTCTATACCATATACACAAAAAGCCAGAAGATTTAACTTAGCTTTACTTCTGGAAAACAAAACAAAACCCCAACTAACTCAGTCTTCAATTTTGGATCCAGATTATAACTTCCTAGAATGGGTGAGAATAAGTATTTACGTTAGAATAAGATGTAAGTTGTAAGGTACCTGCGATGGGAAGCATAGTTTCCTGTGACGTGGCCACTTCCATCACATCCTGGCGTTGGGCAGCTGAGTCAATAAAAAATATAGTGTTAAAGTCAAGGGGTTTTCACAGATTCATTTGCTGTCTATAGGTTATGAGGTAGCTTCTCTTTTCAAGATCAGTTAGCACAGTACGGGACACACAGGAGCTAGTGAACTAAGGAATTGTGTTATCTAGGAACCAGGAGACCAGCTAGAAGAATACTGGCATGATCTGAAGGCATTAGTTTTCACCATCACATTAATTCTCTGACTCAAATCATGTAGGAAAGTGATGCTGAAATATATGCCCTATCAATGTTGTGAGTCAACAACCAATGATGTTTTATCTCTTTGAAAATATAAATGTTATAAACCCACGCTTTATAATGAGAGTGGCTCCTAGGAATACTGGCACCAATTATATAACAGATTTCAGAAAAGAATTTTTGTGAGTTTGAGGGTTTTTTTTAAGTAGACTCCATGCCCGGTATAGAGCCCAATGCCCAGTATGGAGCCCAGCGTGGGGCTTGAACTCATGACCCTGAGATCAAGACCTGCTCTGAGACCAAAAGTCAGCTGCTTAACCAACCAAGCCACTCAGGCGCCCCAAGGATTTTTGTGAGTTCTTAAGAAAAGGTCATTATAGTAACTTCATATACATTTTAGAAACTGCCTGAAAAAGAAAATCTTTGAAAATACTATATATCCTGGAAAGGTAAACTGACATTTTAGGTGGGAAAGTTGCTGACAATACAGAAACCTATAAGAAATTTAGTTATTAAAGCTTGGGATCAATTTTATCCAAAGTTTGAAACCATCATAGACAATTGCTAATTAACCACCAAAGCAATAGGCTCTCCAGGCCATCTGCCAAAGACCAGAGTCTGTATTGATGCATTCCATTGTATTTCAGAAGCTGGTCATATTCTGTGCATCTTATGTGTCTTTTAAAAATAATGTAAGAGGATTTTCTTCCATAGTTAATAGGTTCCTTGGTTTCTCAGTCGTTTATTTTCCTCTGATGCTGCTAGAAAGTCACTCATTTGGAGTAAGCAGATTGACCTCAGCCTGCTCAGTGCTATTTGTGGCAGTGTTAATCAGAGGAAAAATCAGTTACGTCATTCAGGCTTCTGGTTTTCTCTGACATGCTGCCTAAAGTGAAGGCTTATCCATATGTGTAGAGTACAGAGTTTACCCCTTTGAAAGGACATTTAGAGATAGACTGCCAACATTCAAGTTTTCTTAAATGTCACCTTCTTAGTTTTTTGTTGTTGCTGTTGTTTTCCTGTGAGCTATTTTCTAATCATCTTCAGGTAATCTAAAGAAACTATAAGTGTTAGAACATTTCCATCTCTCAGAGAGAGGTTTGATTTTCAGGGCTTGATCCAAGCTGAATTGCCTAGCTCTTCCCTTACCACTTTCCCTAGATGGGATATCAGAAAGGAAAATGTGGAAGCTATATATACATGTAAACAAGTAAAGGAAGAAAAAAGAACAATGATTAACATTTGAGCTCAGTTATCTTGCAAGTGCCATTCACCCACTAAATGGAGAAACAATCTCTTCTGAACACTGTACAACTGGAATATTCAGAGTGTGAGAGATGTGTTGTAATTACCTGGGAATCCCCACTTTAAAAATACATGGCCACCTAGTGTGCAAAAACAGCACTGCGTTTATTTTATTTTATTTTTTAAATTTTATTTCTATTTTTTCATTATTTCTATCAATACTGCCATGAGAAGCAAAGAAGTGCCAATGAGTTTTAAACCCATCAGCTATAAATTAGGGAGTAAAATAGTAAAGTATGCATTTAATTAGCTGCTAATTACTTTTTTTAAGTTTGGTGGTATAAAGAGGTTAAGGAATAAAGGATTGAAGATGGTGTTGTAGGAAAAGCTTTTGTTTCAGATTCTGATAGCTGGCTTAAATTACAAATAGTCAATGAAAAATCTTATCCAATAACATGTGCCCATACCAGTTGGGTGAAACAATCTGGGTAGGTTTGCAAATGGAAGTATTAACACTTAGAAGGGCGCGTGGGTGGCTTTGTAGGTTAAGCATCTGCTTTCAGCTCAGATGGTGAGCTCAGGATCCTGGGATCTCAGGGTCCTGGGATCTAGCCCTGTGTCAGGCTCCCTGCTCATGGGGAGTCTGCTTTCCCCTTTCCTGCCCCTCCCCCTGCCCCTGCTCATGCTCTCTCTCTCAAATAAAAAAATTTTAAAAATCTTAGAAAAGAAAGTATTAACACTTAGAGAAAGGAAATGAGCTAGTTCCTTCAGGAGGTGGCCCTCAAACTCTAAGGAAATTTATTCTAATCAATGACATTAAAAAACCCTATTTTGCAAACAGTTTCTGGTAATCAATTAAGGTACATTTATCTGTTAGAAAGAAAAAGCACCAAAACACGCCACCCCAAAACTGCTAGAACTCATACAGGAACTCAGTAAAGTGACAGGATATAAAATCAGTGGTATTGCTATACACCAACAACAAGACAGAAGAAAGAGAAACTAAGGAGTCAATCCCTTTTACAATTGCACCCCAAACCATAAGATACCTAAGAATAAATCTAACCAAAGAGGCAAAAAATCTGTACTCAGAAAACTATAAAATACTCATGAAAGAAATTGAGGAAGGCACAAAGAAATGGAAAAACGTTCCATGCTCATGGATTAGAAGAACAAATATTGTGAAGATGTCAATGCTATCTAGAGCAATCTACACATTTAATGCAATTCCTATCAAAATACCATCCACTTTTTTCAAAGAAATGGAATAAATAATCCTAAAATTTGTATGGAACAAAAAAAGACCCCAAATAGCCAGAGGAATGTTGAAAAAGAAAAGCAAAGCTGGTGGCATCACAATTCCAGACTTCAAGCTCTATTACAAAGCTGTCATCATCAAGACAGTATGGTACTGGCACAAAAACAGACACATAGATCAATGGAACAGAATAGAGAGCCCAGGAATGGACCCTCAACTCTATGGTCAACTAATCTTCGACAAAGCAGGAAAGAATGTCCAATGGAAAAAAGACAGTCTCTTCAACACATGGTGTTGGGAAAATTGGACAGCCACATGCAGAAGAATGAAACTGGACCATTCTTTACACCACACACAAAAATACACTCAAAATGGTTGAAAGACCTAAATGTGAGACAAGAGTCCATCAAAATCCTAAAGGAGAATATAGGCAGCAACCTCTTCAACCTCAGCCGCAGCAACTTCTTCCTAGGCATATCGCCAAAGGCAAGAGAAGCAAGGGCAAAAATGAACTATTGGGACTTCATCAAGATAAAAAGCTTTTGCATAGCAAAGGAAACAGTCAACAAAACCAAAAGACAACTGACAGAATGGGACAAGATATTTGCAAATGACATATCAGATAAAGGGCTAGTATCTAAAATCTATAAAGAACTTATCAAACTCAACACCCAAAGAACAAATGATCCAATCAAGAAATGGGCAGAAGACATGAACAGACATTTTTCCAAAGAAGACATCCAAATGGCCAACAGACACATGAAAACGTGCTCAACATCGCTCAGCATCAGGGAAATCCAAATCAAAACCTCAGTGACATACCACCTCACACCCGTCAGAATGGCTAAAATTAACAAGTCAGGAAACGACAGGTGTTGGCAAGGATGCGGAGAAAGGGGAACCCTCCTACACTGGTGGTGGGAATGCAGGCTGGTACAGCCACTCTGGAAAACAGTATGGAGGTTCCTCAAAAAGTTGAAAATAGAGCTACCCTATGACCCACCAATTGCACTACTGGGTATTTACCCCGAAGATACAAATGTAGTGACCCGAAGGGGTACATGCACCCCAATGTTTATAGCAGCAACGTCCACAATAGCCAAACTATGGAAAGAGCCAAGATGTGCATCAACAGATGAATGGATAAAGAAGATGTGGTACATATATACAATGGAATATTATGCAGCCATCAAAAAACCAAAATCTTGCCATTTGCAACGACATGGATGGAACTAGAGGGTATTATGCTGAGTGAAATAAGTCAATCAGAGAAAGACATGTATCATATGACCTCACTGATATGAGGAATTCTTAATCTCAGGAAATAAATTGAGGGTTGCTAGAATGGTGGGGGGTGGAAGGGATGGGGTGGCTGGGTGATAGACACTGGGAAAAGTATGTGCTATGGTGAGCACTGTGAATTGTGCAAGACTGTTGAATCACAGACCTGTACCTCTGAAACAAATAATACATTATATGTTAAAAAAAAGAAGAAGAAGAAGATAATAGGAAGGGAAAAATGAAGGGGGGGAGATCAGAGGGGGAGATGAACCATGAGAGACTATGGACTCTGAGAAACAAACTGAGAGTTCTCGAGGGGAAGGCGGTGGGGGGATGGGTTAGCCTGGTGATGGGCATTAAAGAGGGCACGTACTGAATGGAGTATTGGGTGTTATATGCAAACAATGAATCATGGAACACTACATCAAACACTAATGATGTAATGTATGGTGATTAACATAACATAACAAAATAAAATTAAAAAAAGAAACATAAAGCAAAGCACAATTTTTGAAAAAGGATGCAACTATAGTAAGACTTTTACAAAACCAGTGTATAACACAGGTACATAAAGATCAGCAGTATCCACTGAAGTGTTCATCAGTCTGGGGATGAAAATGAGGAGAGAACCATGAGGTTTCTATAGAGTTAATTTCCTAAGAATTCATGATGAAATTCTATTTCAAAACCTGTCCCAATGTTTTTAGAACCCTTCCTCTTTTGTATTAGCTTTGTCCCAGTGAGAAGTGCTCATTACAAAATAATCTCTCTTCATTTTTCTGTTCAAAATGGTAATGCAGGTTAATTATCAATCTTTTACACTACATTTAGTTTGGAATGACTCTCACAATTTCCAAAAATCTACTTCCAAATGATGAAAATTTGCCAATTTTGAAGATATTCAGAGTAATATGAAGAAACAAAATCAAAAATCAAAAAACAAAAATTTTTAAAAAGATTTTAAAAACTTGAAGTAACTCCACAAGGGAGTAAGTATATGGCTGACCCCAAGTCACCTCTGGGAAGAAACAGTGTTCAGTGACATTTAAACTCTAGTGTTTGGTACTCATCCATCACGTTGCTCCAGCTACCAAGTTCTAAGTGAACATTAAACTCATAAGAGAAAATCATATTTGAGCCAGTAATGTTTGCCTATGAAATCCATAAAGAATACAGTCTAAGATTATTTAAAAATCAGTCACATATCAACACAATATATCAGTGTTGCACTAGGAATAATTTCATTGAACACTTTCTATGTGCAAGGCTTGTAATAGCATTTGAGATGTGTTCCCTGCTCCCAATTCACTGTTTGTGTAGTTGGGGAAGTAAGAGGCACTGCAGTAAATATTATGTACCAATGGTGTGGATGTAGGAGAGAACAAAATCAATGAAAGAAGAACACCCTTGCCCTCCTGGGACCTGCATTCTTGTTAGGAAGGCAGACAACAGAGGATGTGGGCAAGCAAAATGTATGAGTGCATTAGAAGGTGATAAATACTGAGGGACAACAGGAGTTCCAGAAACAGGGGATAGGAGCATCAGGGCTGAGAGTGGGGAATGAAAGCAGCTAGGAAGACTCCTCGGGTAAGTGACATTTGAGAGAAGAGCTGAGGGAGGATGAGGGGCTTTGGCACCCGGCAGACGTCTGTGGCATAGGGAATAGCAACCGTGAGGCCCTGAAGCCTTAGGGAAAAGCAGGAGAAGAGGCAGCTGGTGGAGAGGGAGGGGTAGACCCTACCCTAGGGTCCTGCGGAGAAGGGAGAGCTCATTCCCCATGGCCATTGGAAATGGGTCCGGAGGTGATGCACGCCTGGGAGTCCGCAGAGCAGAGATGGTTCTAACACCGAGAACCCGAGGGACTGAATGTAGACAGAGGAGAGAAGAGGTTCCAGGACTGAACTCTGGGACATTCCATCTTTGGAAGGGCTGCACCGGAGCCTAAGCAGGAGTAATACGTGAGGTGGGAAACTGTCCCAAGGTGTGGTACCCTAGAAGCCAGGTGCAGAAGACAGAGGAGGAAGCGATCAGCTCTGTCAAGTCTGGCAGCCCCATCAAGTAGGGTCACGAAGACCAAGATACCACACACAGATGGGTTCCCTGGAGGGCTTACGGATGGTTGTGGTGGAACGGTGAGAATGGAGGCCTATCTGGGAGAAATTCAGGTGGGAAACAGGGTCACACTTTCTTGAGGAGCTTAGCTATGAAAGGAAGAAGAAACAGGGGGTCAAGGTGAAAGCCAAGTCAAGAGAGGGGCTTTAATTTTTTTATTAGAAAAACTGAAACATACTTTTGTGCTGATTCAGAAGAGAATGATTCAGATTCAGAAGAGATCATACAGATGCTGGTGGCTAAGTGGAAGAGTTACTTTTTGCTAGAAACTCTCATTAATTGGCAGCTTTGAATATATTTGTGTATGAATATACTTTAATATTTCACCATTTACATACAGAAAATATTTTCCTGCATGTCACTCACTCCCTCGTGTGAAACACAACCCAAGCAGGACTATACTGCCTGCTAAGGATCTAACTGTAGAAAAACAATGGCTCCTGCCTTGTGTTTGCCTGAAACACCTCCCACTTCTCCTCCTCACTTACCATCTATCCTGGGATCTCTACTCCCCTGCCAGATAACTGGAGGTGAAGTAGAAAAGGAACTTAGGAGCGGCTGCCATCAGGACATTTTCTTTAGTCGTCCTCCTGTGTCTCTAAAGGGCCTCATTTCTGTGTTCTTTGTGGGCTTCCCTTTTGCCCAGTCAGGGGCCAGCAGCATGTGCATCCTCAAGGCCTCAAGAGCACTCTATCCCTTTCTTTCTATAGTTTCTCTAGCCTCATGATCTCATGTCTGAATCTTTATATCAGTGTTTTATTTTTTTTTCACATCAATGTTTTAGATGATCTTCCAGCTTCAGAATAATTTTGCACACTGTTCTTCCTAAAGCACCACACCATTAATTCACTTTCCTGTTTAAACACCTGTGGTTTGCTCACGCAAACCTGCAACCAGGCACTCTTCTTAAGGCCCCGTCCTGCTTGAGTCCACGCCTGCACTCTGTCTCTCCACATCTGGCTAGTCCTCAGGGCTCAGCTCAGGGCCCCTGCTCCCTGAAACTTTGTTCCTCTCCAGCCTCTACTGTAGTCTTAACTAGTACTTATTGCTGTCGAATGCCCTGGTCTTTAAACTCTCCTGAGTCACAGAACCCTTTGAGAAGGTGATGAAAGCCATAAAATCCCTTACCCAAATAATCATTTGCATTAAGTGTTATAAGGTTCATAGACTCCCTGAAGCACTGACTTGGATCTTCTGGGGTCAGTAGGTATCAGATTAAGAACTTCTGATCAAAATATAAACATTTTTTTGACTCATTCACCCGACCCAGAAGCAACATTGTCTATCCCGACACCCTATTCATTTCCTTCAAGGCACTTTCCAGAAGTGCAGAGTTCACTTCAAATTTGTTCCCTTATATTCCCAGCATCTGACATATGCCTAGAACATAACATAGTAGGCAGGCAAAAAATAGTTACTGAATAAATTAACAATTATTCCACTGCCACAGAGAGAATAATATCTAAACCCAACTAGTCCTAAAAAGATGTGACTCTAAATTTAAGAATGGATTCTGAATCTTTCACTCCATCATCATAACTGACTTTATAGTATCACTAAACTCATCATAGTGAAAAACGTTAAGTGATTTTTAACGGAATTCCAAAATTAAGTGGAAAAATTCCCCTCAAAAAGAAAAAGCTGGCCTCTGCTTTCAAGGAGAATCTATGAGTCTGTTAGAGAGGTTAGACCTATGGGTAGTAGGTTTTTTGTATCATCCATATGCTAACGATACTATAATTATGTTATGGAAAGAAACATTAACTTGCTGACAGACTTTAGGGACTTTATATTTATTGCAGAGTCAAAAAGAAAATGGCTGCCATCTGTACCTTAAACACGTCATATTTTTAAAATTTCAATGTAATAATTATTTAAATCCTAACTAAATGTGATTAATTTCTCAAAAAAATTCAATAGAGACATTAATTAATGTACTTCCCCATTAAAAAAAATGTTTATGCCTTTAGTGGGCAAAATGCAATAATCCTGCTTAGAATACTATATCTTCATGGTCTATGCCACGAGCCGTGATAATTACCACACAATGAAAACATACTATCCACTAAGCATTTTATATATTCTTATAGGTTGTTTCCTTAGATTTTCACAATTTCATGAGATGACTATTGATAGCCCTGCTTTACATTTAAGAAACTGGAGGTTCAAATGAGTTTAAAAACTATGTCTAAGGCTACGAAACTAGTAAATGGTACTATGGAGACGCTGAGTTCAGCCTGACTCAGTGGAGCAGAGCACAGTGAAAAGTTCTGAGCAGCCAAACAAAACAAAACAAAACACATAAACATTTCTAGTTGCTTTATATTGTTTTTGTTTTTTCAATCATCTCTTAGCATGAAATCACATCATGTACACTTTTTTTCCCCATAATCCTCTTAGTTCTAAGCATAAATTTAGGTATGTTTGAAACATTTAACTATCGACTGGCTGAAATTGTCCTATAACATTCCTAAAGTCAACCATATAAACCAGGATATTATTACTCAAAATTTTGAACTTGAGTCTCCTAATTCTAGAATCTCACAGAATATGCCAGTAAAGATTGCTTACGTGATTAGTTCTTTTTTGAGATCTCTTGCATGGAGCTTGGGTTTAGGGCTTGGGATGGAGGCCTCTCCAGGAAACTTTTTTTCCTCTAAATTTTCTAGAGAGCTCACTGGGTCTTTCTGGAAGAAAAAAAAAAATACAGAAGCACAGAAGGCATTAGGCTACACTGTAAAGACAACTGTATTTGAAGACATCAGGGAGGAATTTGAGTTTTAGCTTAATGACTTAAGCTGCAATTCTTCATAGGATTTGTACATAAAATTAATAAGGTAATAAGTATAAGGATATATTCTGATTATTACGGACCTCCATCCTTGGTGAAGAAAAATTGCAATTCATGGGGGACAACTTTAAAAGTTCACATTTTGGCAAATATAACCACAGAGGCATTTCTTGAGCTATATAACGAATACGTTTCAGATTTTATTGTATAATGAATGTTTCCTAGAGAACATAAGAATAGTTCTTTATATACACAGCAGTCATTGGTAAAACAAAAGAAATATTGCAAAAATGAACCACAAATTTTTAAACAAAAAAGAATAAGTAAATTTAGGTTAACAAAATGTCCTTTCTAATATACAAATAAGTAAGATTTAAATTATTTGTTTAAATATGTAATAAGTGGTCCACAATATTTAGCCATTGAATTTTATTTTTTCCAGATAATTGCTTTTATTCTCACATCACTTCCTATTTTTCTTAAGTGACCTCTTTTGCTAAGTTGGTATCTTGTAATGCTTTAGTCATTGGATGGAATTTCTTGCTGGATTATCACTAATTTTTGTGGCCTTCTGTTAAGCTTAATACCGATCTTGATTTCATAAGGAAGATTTAGTAACCCTTTCAAATAATTTATTTACCATCTGATATATTATCTTACAGAAGACTAACGATGGTTTTCCTCAATTACATAATTAGCTTACTTACATCTTAAGCTTATATCCAGTAAATATAATACTTCCTGGATTTAATATTAAAATCAGATTAACTAATATAGAAAACTGTATTCTAATTCTCAAAAGTACTGATCTCTTTAAAATGAGAAAACTTCTTTGAATTATTCAAGGTAAATCTCATTTAAGTTAAATGGATATAAACATGCGATAGCAAAATTTAATTTTAATAATCCTAAGTCTATACTGAAAATCAATGGAAAAACAAACATCTGGGTTTTCTGTACCAAGGAAAAATTTTACACCTTGATCTCAGTCATAAAGTTAAGTGTAATTTTTTTCATTAATTACTTGGATAGCAATTCAGTCATTTTCCACAAAGCCATACAGTGGTAAATACATTGGTAAACTATCTCAAGTAACTCTATCTTCAGGCCAAATAAATAAAACCTCGTTTGGTACAATTTCTTTCTTCATATTATTTATAGTTCTAAGTTGTCACATTTTAAAATTGGTATATGTTTGAAAATAGTAGGAGATAATAGTACACCACTTAAAAATAAGGAGAAATGGGTGCTTGATCATAGGTGCCCTTTAAGATACAAAGAGAAGTACCACTTTAAAGCTACTTCCATGGAATCTATAGCAAAATGGATGGTGCTTCTCCTTTTCAAGTTTTATAGTATAAATGCCCAACATGAGGCAATTCCTAATTAGAAGACCTTATGTACTACGGTGAGGGCTGTGAATTGTGTAAGACTGATGAATCACAGACCTGTACTCCTGAAACAAATAATACATTATATGTTAATAAAAACATTAAAAAATTAAAATAAAAATACTGATTACAGAAGCAAAAAAAAAAAAGAAGAAGAAGACCTTAAACCTGATAATACCACCATCTATTCCATTTGGTGCTATCTGGATTTAGTAGTGTTTTCTGCTACAATTTATAAATGTCCTGGCTTTTTGAAAGTCGATACAAATGCTAAATCCAATATTGCCTCAGTGTGGAACAGCCTTTGTTTTTCTGTTTAGATGCTAATTTTTTTTAAAAAATGGCATACAGTGAAAAAGAGCTTTTTATTATTTTCTTTATGATAAAATTAAGAACAAAGTATTCCTAAAGGCATGTACATTTATAGATGAACATATAAATTTTATCAGCTATCATTTGACTGCTGAATCTATACATTATGGGAGACAAGGGAATAAGGGATTTTGAAAAAATCATCAATTATGAAAATTTAAGTTATTACTGTAACTAAAATGTATATAAAAATAATGCTTGCAGAATATATGGTATTTAATTTGGTATAGTAACATGTGGTAATGTTTTAAAAGGATAATTTCACTGGATATGGGCTTTTAAATATTTCGTGTGTTCTTGTAAAAACTATGGACTCATATGCATGCAATTACATTATGAAATGATTGTCTTTTCTCCTTTTCTTTGCTCAGCATCCTACCCCAAGAAACCTGCAGAGAGCATATGTACTAAAATACAGGTGAACATCATTGAAAGAATTCTTAATTTTGTTGCACAATCACTTTATATTAGATAAATTTTTAAGAAGCACCCCGTAAAAAATAAGCCAATGTCATTTGGAAGAATTATTTTGAAATTTAAAGTATAATTTTAAAAATGATAATTTTATCCTGTGGATATGTAAGAGAGAATCTGGCATATACGTGTTGTCTTTAGAAAGTATATGGATGCAATGAAATTCCTTCAATGTACAGATGGAAGTTTATATTGATTTCAGTAAAGACCAGAACATAATGGTAACATGAATAACAGATAATAGCATCTGGCACTTTTAACATTTTAAACCCTGAAATCTTTGGAGAACTGACAGTTGAATGGAACTGACAGCCCTAGTTATTTCTCAGCACTTTCCTTTCGAGATTTTTTGAGTTTTTTCCAGATTCAGGATTTTTTTTAGGGGGCATCTGGACAGGCTATTTCACTAAGAGAGACAGACAATATTTTCTGAAAATTACCACCAAAATTAAGCAACTGTTGTGCATATGAACTAGATAACAATGAATTAGAAATAATCACTCTTGTTTCTGGTTGTGCATGTGTGTGTGTGTACGTGTGTGAGTGGCATGTGGGCTAAGGGTGGAGGTGCCCGTGGGAAGGACCAGGTGTCAGATCAGGCGCCGAACACCACCAGGTCTTCAAACATTCACAGTATATTGCCTGAGCTGAGTGCAGCATCCAGGTGGGGCTCATTGGAAAAGACAGGCACGGACCACTTCCCGTGACTGGTTTGTGTGGTCGTATCCTGTAGATCACGGTCAGGGGAGGTTTGGTCCTGCTGCCCTGGGAAGCACTGTAGACCACTGTTGGCTTCCCCGTGCCTCACCAAGCACCATTTCTTCTTCCTTCTCTTTTCCCTTCCCTTTCTAATTGTCCTCCATACTCCCTAGCTGTTGCCACTTTTTGATGTGCTGTTTAACCTTTTCCTTCTCTCCATTCTTTTCCTTCTCCTCTTTCTTCATTTTAGGGAAGCCCAGGCCCATTTCTTAATTTCTATAGGACCAAGGACCAACAATTTAACCTCCTTGAGCTTCCATTTCTCCTCCAAAAACTTTGACCATAATCCTGCTTTTCATGACTTAGGATAATGAGACATGACTGTTAGAATAATAAGACTATTCCTACTGAACTCAATGTCCCTCTGCTATCTTCACAACGAGGATGTTAAATACAATCTATTTTTTTCAAAATAATAACTAGCAAGTATCACAGTTCTCATTTATAAGATTCAGAACAGGGTGATAAATACTGTCTATTTGTAGATTACCTCAGCACTGATGAAGGCACAAAGAAGGAGGGGTGAAAAACTGTCTTATGGAGTTACAGTACTGCAGAAGCACTTTTGTGTGAGTGTGTCCCCATCAGGTATAATATCCCCAAGCAATGAGTCACTCAGGCTCAGATCACCGTGACAATAAAAATTAAGCTTAAAAAATATTTTGCTGGGGTGCCTGAGTGGCTCAGTTGGTTAAGCGTGGGACTCTTGATTTAGGCTCAGGTTGTGATCTCAGCGTATTGAGATCAAGCCCAGTGTGGGGCTCTGTGCTGGGTGTGAAGCCTGCTTAAGATTCTTTCTTTCCCTCTCCCTCCTCCCCTCTCCCCAAGCTCGCAAGGGTGCACTCTCTCTAAAAAAACGATTTGTCAACTCAAACCTAGGGCAAGCACCTTGATTCTATGAATTCACTTAGCATTTTCAAAGTCCTCTTTTGTCATTCTTAGTGACACTGAATCTCCACATAGCTTCTCGATTCCAGATTCCAGAATGTTTAGGTTGCAAACTGTAGCAGTAAAAGTCTGTACTGTCAGGCCTGAATAAGTAAGCCATTCTGCAAAGAGCAGAAATCTAATCTAACCAAATCCATTTTCCCCATGAAATTGCTGGGAAATAAAATACTGTCACAGGGGGCGCCTGGGTGGCTCAGTCATTAAGCGTCTGCCTTCGGCTCAGGTCATGATCCCAGGGTCCGGGGATTGAGACCCGCATCGGGCTCCCTGCTCAGTGGGAAGCCTGCTTCTCCCTCTCCGACTCCCGCTGCTTCTGTTCCCTCTCTCGCTGTGTCTCTCAAATAAATAAATAAAATCTTAAAAAACAAACAAACAAAAAAACACTGTCACAGATATATAAGCATTAGATAAGAACATACTCCAATTGAATCCATGAAGCTGCCAAGGTGAATCCAGATGTTTTTTGGAATTATGCAAAAAAAATGAGATTGGAAATAAAGAAAATATTTGTTATGAGACCTCATACTCTGGCTATCTGAGTGATAAGAAATATAGCCAAGGAGGTTCTTGAGGTACTTACTGGACCTCCAAATGAGAGGAATGTCTCAGAATGTGAGGACATTGTTGACATTGTTGCCGAGGCCAAAAATCATAACCCAGTTAAAACAATACAAGAGACCCTAAATGAAAACAAGAACCCACTTAACACAAATTTGCTTCATTACTACTCAGGACTGAATCAGTATGTCTGACATTGGAAGGAAGATTTCTGGTGATTGTTGACCATGGTCCATTTATAGCAGTCACAAGGGTGGGGACAGAAAGTCTAAGTCCCACCCTGCACATGACACTGAGATGCTCCCAAACAAGGTAGGTTTTATCCTAGTGGGATTCATCCAAGAATAGGAGCACAGTTATGCTTACTTTGTAAATATAGTCCTTCATGTGACATGAGACTTTAACTGAACCCCCCATCGACGGATCTCCTAACTAGGATTGGGTTTCCTTTTGGTGGTGTAGAGTGGGATATGCCATTGACTATTGGACTAGCTGGGGATGAAGCAGTTTTATGAATGAGAGGGTATTCCCTTTCTCTAAAGCTGGCTTCTACAGAGTGGGATTGGATCAACAATCTTGATCTCATCGTGATTGCACTTCTCAACAACTTACACTGCTTCCTGACCTCCATTTCGGACCAGTTGTGCAGAATGATCAGTTAATGTGCATACTGACAGATTTCCAGATTATAAAAATAAACAGCAGTTAGGTGTAACTTCTGTTATTTTGCACAAGTCCAAAATGGCAGGGGGGGATGTGGTGGAGGGAAGAGGTATGTGTTTGCCCATCTGTGGTCATCACTTAAGGTAAACCAGCTTCTAATACTTTGCAGGTATTAGTTTTATAATGATCGGAATCAAACATATATTATTTTTAGAAATGGTTCTTCTAAAATAGTGTTATGATAGATTAACTAAGACCATCCCTAAATACTCGAGGCAAATTTTGTAAAGCCAAACAGAATAAAATGACTAAGACTAGAATGGCAGAATCGAATCAGAAACTGCTGTTGTGTGAATTCCCCTCCCACTTCTCTGTGATGGTGTGGGTGGTGGTGACACAGAGTCTGCCTTGGATCCTGGGGTATCCTTCAGGAACCCATCCTTGACCACTGTACATAGGGTTGGCATTCCTTTATTTCTTCATTGTGTGCCTGCTCGTGCTATTCCATTTGTCACTGTATTTATTTACCTGTCAGTGTCCCTATCAGACTGAGCATACATGTGGGGGAAGTTTGGTGCTGCTTCCTTGGGACCTATGTTACTTCCGGACATGGAGATGCCAGGGAAAGTGTGCTGAAGGAAGCAAAGAAGGAGGGAGGGAGTGAAGGAAGGAAGGAGGAAAGGAAAAGGGAAAAGAGAGAGAGAGGGAGGGAAGGGAGGAGTAGAGGAAGGAAAGAAAGAAGGAAGAAGGGAATGAAGAAGGAAGGAAGGAAGGGAAGGAGGGAGGAAGGAACGAAAGAAGGGGAATGGGAGAAACAACCCAATCTTGTGATCACTACTGTTTATGTCAACTTATGCTCTGAGATGTTAAAGCATATGCTAACATCAAATTAGTTTTTCCCCCAAAAGTTTCTGTACTTCAAAAAGATGAAAAAGGTGGTGCACCCTTCCAAAGACAGTGGCTATTTTATTTCTTTAAACATCAACTGGCAAGTATCAACTTTCCCGACAAACAGCAAAGCAAAATGAATCACTACTGTAACAATTAGGGTCACATTTGCAATGATATAGAGTCTAAATAGTGGAGGTTTCTGGCCATGAATTCTTTTGGATGACACTAAATGATGGCTAATTAGACTAGGCCAGGTGGCTCAAACTATGGAGATGAAGGCTTGATGAACCTGTACAGTCACGACACCTGGCTACTCCAAAGATAACCAAATACACAAATGCACCCCTTGACTTTGAGGCTGATACAATTTAGACACCCATGATCCAAACACCGCAGCCAATGGCTCTAGACGTAGATAGGCTAGCATAGTTCCTTCATGAAACCAAGGAAAGGATTTTGACATGATTCTTACTAATCCCTGATTTGATTTCATTTTCTACCCTCTGGTTCAGAAAGAGTTAGTAAGTTGGCATTTCAGTGTTGAGTAATACATTGCACCTTACAGCCTGCTGCATCTGAAGGGATGTTTAATATAATCTCTCACGCAGTGCACACAATTGCAGCCCTGATGGGGATCAAATTCACTCAGTGACATCATTTTAGTCAAGTGACAGAAAAAATTGGATTCATTTATCAGTTTCTGATGAAATTTAAGATCATCACCTTACCAAAATCTAAAACAAGGTACAGAATTATGTGTTATCTAAACAGGAGTACAAAAAGTAACATAGGAGGAAACAGCTAAGAATACTTTCCAATCATGCTCTGTCTTAAACTTAGTGATTGACATATTGAAACAATACCTCTTTCTCCTCCTCTGTCTTCCCATGAGTTTTGCTATAGTTGATAGGAGTATCCCAGCCCTCTTGATCACAGAGAGCCTGATAGAATGCTGCATTGACCAAAATGCTGCTTGTTTTGAATGGGGAAGAGGAAGGAGTTGGAATAGAAGTGTTAGAGGAAGTTAGGGGTGCAGCTTTGTCCAGGATTCGATTTTTTTTCAGGCTTAAGTCCAATGTGCCATTTTCATCCACTTCTATCTCGGCTCCCTGGTATACAATAGGAAACAGAAAAACATTTAAGCAGTTTGCAGTTATAGCCTAGCCATGTGGGGCTTTTAAAGGATAATTTTAAATGCAAGCTTTTATGTAAGTATATCTGATTTAAAATCTAGCTTTCTGATTTGCTTTGGTTAATGTTCAATTCTTAGGCAGACTTTTAAGAGCAGCACCATTAGTGAGCTTCGTGTTTCTGGGTTTAAACAAAGTAGAATCTAATATAAATAAGATGTTCCAAATGCTAAATGCATTGGCTAACCCTGTTTTATATATTTTTTTGAAGTTTAGCTTTAAATCTCCTTTTCTGGTTTGCAGAATTATCACTTTCAATTCATCACTTATAGCATTAACACTTGAGTTTATAAAAAGGCCCAGCACTACTTCCCAGCTCACCCCCAATGCAGTATTAATCTAACGTGAATATATGCAAAAATAGCCAGCTGCAAGAGAATTTTTATTGGAATATTAGATTAATACGAACATGACATTTTCCCCTGGGTTACTTGAACCAGAAAAGCTTTGTTAACGTGCGGGGGCGGGGGCCAGAGGCAGACAGGGCAAACCGTTGTTGATTCTGGAAGCCTTCAGGTATCTGCAGCCATCAGGCCTGCTTGGAGGTAAGCTGTACAGTGAAACTTGAGAATAAAACTGATTCTTTTCCAGACACTTAGTATGAGACTTAAAACTCACTACACCTCACGGCATTTCTCCTTGCAATATCGTTGGCTATCTTTTTGTTGTTGTTGTTGTAGTTTAAGGTACAAGTCCCAACTAGATCCCTACTGCCATGCAGTAGGACTCAGAACGTGGGAAGAGCTCACTTGTCTTTTTCCTAAGTGGGTCAGATAAATACCTCTCCGTATTTTCACTATCATCCATCAATTCACGATTAAATCTTGGACAACGTCTCGGCTCTTTTCCCTTTTGGCTGGCAAAGCAGGAGTCTCTTTGAATACGTTAGCAAGATCCCTAACCCATATGGTAGCCAGTTACTTCCCCGGGGGGATTTATTTTAACTCCCCATTTACACTCTGCCTTTCCCCCTCCCCAACAGTTGCCACTGAGGTGTGGGCCAACGTAGCTGTGCTCCAAAGGCTCACTGCTTGCACCTGATTTGGAAAATGAGGCACCTCTTCTGTTTGCTTGTTTCACCTGCATAGTTCCTATTTTCAATCTCTCAGCCTCTGAGGTAGATATGCTTTGTTATATTTGTGGGAGGTAAATATACTTCTAATACGTTTGCACTAAGATGCTTTGGCTATATCTTTCTGTCCTTTTTAGTAAATAGTTTAATCTCCTGTGATAGTTTTAAGCCCTGAATTTGACAGTACAGCTTATCCGGGATAATAACTTAGTAACCACAACATCTTATGCCATCTGTATAATATCAAATACGTTTTTATACCAGCATTAATAAACCTTAGTTACAAAACTCCAAGATATTAACCATATCAGTGCCATGTGCTCTCTCCATGGTACAACAATGTATTCTGCTGTGAGCACATCAAAATAATTCTTGGCTTCATAGCTGATATGTAACTATAGCAATGAAACAGAGCTATAGTAATCAAGTTTAATGGCCAATGTAAAGTAAAATGCTAAATATTGTAGTTGCTGACATTTTTCATTAAAAAAAATAAAAAAAAAACTTGGGTTAAGACTGCACAACCAACATTCACATAAAATTCCAGACCTCTGTGACAGATGGCTTAGGAAAAAGAAGCCATGTGACTGGGCTGCAGAGTTTTATAGTGCAAAACCCATAAATAGTGCAGATTCGATCTCCCTGAAAAAAATATCAACTATTCCAAGACAACACTAATATATATTTTAGTTTTTGCAGAAAAAAATTCCAAATAGTAAACAAAAAAAAATTAGAGATTCTCGGAGTTGTTATGTTCTACATCTTGAGTAATCACGAGCTGATTGGGGGAAAAAAAATCACTTCTAATGTTTAAAAGAGGCGCTCTTGTATATCCCGTGCCCCAGCCGGCTGCTCTGAGCACCTGACTTGACAGGGAGAAAGCACGTTTGGGCAGCAGGGTACAGATGGGCTTTAAGTGAGCGCACAGATGCATTCAACAATTACACACAGTATCAGAGAAGGGTCCCTTTCTGCCCATAGATGGGTGGATCACACGTTTATTGCATGGATTTTTTTATTCAGAGCCGTATCAATAGACATCACTTCTGTTTGTGCTTGAAATTCCAAATGGCAGCACACAAAGGAGGGGGTGGTGGGAGAGGCCACAGGAGCAGGAGGGCATAACATTCAGCTGACATGGATCCCCACTGCTGACTTCTAGCATTCTGATTTCTAAAAGTGCCATTCGCTGTTCTGGATCCTTATTTTAGTCATTTAAATTTAAATTTAAAGGGTTTTTTTTTTAGTGTAGACATAGGTCTAATACTATTCATGTACTTTCCAAGTTAGGGCCAACATCAAGGACCATCACTTTCAGCCAATTTTGAGGTACCAATGCCATGTATGATGTATTTATTAATTAAATTATTGAGAAAGCACTTAATGTTTTCAAGCCTCCATATTTTGGGAGAAAGAAAATTGAAAAATATATTGTTCCTGCCTTCAAAGAGCTTATGTTATATGTAGAGGAGATTGTTAGTGAAAGGTAATTTAATAAATATAAATTATTATTCAACTGAAAGCTGAAATAATTATTTGTTATATAATCCTTATGTGCACCATAAAATGAGAAGTGATTCAGATGCCCATCAACAGAGAAATGATTAATGAAATTATGCTACATCTATTTAATGGCACATTATGCAACCAGTAAAATCATAATTACGAGGATTATGTTACAACAAGGAAAAGACGTCTATTACGGAAAGCAGGAAACAACCTGACATTCCTATTATGCCTACAACCAGGGGAAAAGGGTAGAAATTTGTTTCCTGAAGAACAAAAGGGAAAACACAGAAATTACAGTACTTGTATTTAAAAGATAGTCTTAAGGCCAGTCTCCAATAGTTTCCAGGCAAATGACAGCATGATAATGTTCTAACAATTAAAAATTACACATTCAAAGATGGTAATGAGAGAAAGATAACTTTGCCTTAAAGGTCTACTGTGAAAAGTGTTAACTTTCAAAACAGATATAACAAGACACCACTGTTTTCTATATTTGTCAGGTTTTCTATTAACACAAGAGGGGTCACCCACCATCTTTTCATTTTTGACTTGGATACTAGGAAGTGCAAAAATTAAGTGTCCCTCAGCTTAAGTTTCTGCTGTAATTAGCTTCTGGTTTTCATCCTCTGGCTTATGTTCTTTCACTTTTGCTTCAGGGTGCTTTGTTTGGGGAGTATCTTTTCTGTATTGAAAGCTATCTGAAATATGTTTTCAAAGTAGGCAGGGTATTAACAATAAAAAATGAAATTAAAGTATCTTATTCTTACCAAATAGTAATTGAGTATTAACACAGTTAAGTTCAGAGTGTAAACTTGTGAAATTTACTCAATATAAATAGAATGATGGAATTCAGGGGAGAAATCAGTGTCTGACATAAGGTATGAAATTAAAATTAAATTTATAACCATTTTCCAAAAATCTTTGAGACTTGGAACCAAAGTCAGTGAAAATTCTTAAGTTGGCCAGCAGTCTATATAAGACATGATGGTAAAATCTTTAAGAACATAAGAAGTTGGACAGGTATGAGTTAAAATTTTAGTTCCAACAGTTATAGCTGTGCCAGTTGGAGAAAATTATTTAATGTCCCCATACTACTATTTCTTCATCTGCTAAATGGGATGATACCTTCTTTACAGTTTCTGGAAGGATTAAAAAGAATTAATGTAAGCAAAGTGCTTATTTACAGTGCCTGGCACATAGTAGGTGTTCAATAAATGACAACTTATAATAATAATAATAATTTGATTGGGTTTCCAAATGCCAAAAGACACATCCCTATGCTACCGTATGCAGAGGTAAAGAGAGAATTATTAAATATATACACACAGATCAGTTGGTTCCTTGTGATCTCCGACCCAAGTCTCTCATAATATTTCACTCAAAATATATGGTATAATCTGACATGACATTAAAGTTACTGAAAAAGGCTGCTTTTAGATTCTAACCCTCCCAAGAACCATCAGGCTATTTCTGATATCAGGCAGCGAGGATGGTGACATGTTATCATGTTGTTTCTTAGGCCTTATTCAAGCACAAAACAGACTTTGAACTTTAAACATTTCAAGCAAGTGTCAGTTTTTTGTTTTCTTTTAAGGCACACTGTGCATATGTCACTTTGTCTAAACAGGTGGGGAAAACACCAAAACAAACAACAGAATGCTTGGCAAGCAGAAGTGATCAGGATAAAGATAGACCGTGTGCATGTTTGTACCTCTGCTGCTGAGGGTGGGAGGGAGGAAGGAAGGAAACAGGGAGTGTCTCCAACACGTGCTGGCACGTGCTCTCAGGGGCCAGAGGACAGCCTTCAGCAAACTCAGCAAACCCAGGGTGCTCATTCTATGCCTGCCGCCTGTTTCTACTGAATGCTGCACTCATAACAGCATCAACGGTGGTCAGACCGAAAGGGGGGTGTTTGAGGTTGTGGCCCATGAACGTTTTACAAACTCATATTAATTACAAATTAAAACAAAGGACAATATACCAATCTTAGAACCAATGAAAGTACTAGTTTCAAGAGACTTGAATACTTCAGACAAATTACCCTTACCCATTATGATACCCACTAATATTGATATTACCAATTTTTTCTTCTGACTTGATTCCTCAGAGATACTTAAAGCAACATACAGGTAATTTTGGTGGTGTAGATGTGTTGTGTACGTGCTGGATTGTATTTTTTTAAATTTTATTTTATTATGTTAGTCAACATTCATTACATCATTAGTTTTTTTATTATGTTATGTTAATCACCATACATTACATCATTAGCTTTTGATGTAGTGTTCCATGATTCATTGTTTGCGTATAACACCCAGTTCTCCATTCAGTACGTGCCCTCTTTAATACCCATCACCAGGCTAACCCATCCCCCACTCCCCTCCCCTCTAGAACCCTCAGTTTGTTTCTCAGAGTCCATAGTCTCTCATGGTTTGCCTCCCCCTCCGATTTCACCCCCTTCATTTTTCCCTTCCTGCTATCTTCTTTTTTTTTTAACATATAATATTTTAACAAACGAATAATTCCTTTTTCACATCTACTTTCAGAATATAATGGACTCGACTAGGCAGTGGTGGGCAATATTAGCACTGATTTTCTCAACATGGTGTTGGGAAAGAGTCCATGAAGGAAGTGCTTTAGTGTTGGGTAGACAGTCAGGTGGGGCTGGGAAACTTCGGAAGGAGAAGAACACTGTGGAATATCTTTATTGTCTTACATTGTTTTTAGACTGTGTTGGAACTCAGAGTTCTCTTGCCTCTCTGCAGACGGCCTCTGCTCCCATTATTTTCCATAAGAATAGGGATTTTGTAAATCATGAATTTAGATTTCCCACTAAACTCAGAGTCAGTTGTGAGCTTGCAGGTAGCACGAGAAAGATCAGTTTTAGCCCCAACAAGTGGGTATGGAGGCAATTTCAAGGTTAATGTCCTTTGGTTTGATTTTAAAAAGGTTGTGCCCACATGTGACAGCCTGACCTGTAATTTGTTCTCCTACTGGGCTCTTTAAGCAATGTCAGAGAAGCTCATTCCATCACAGAAAGTACTGCATGGAGGCAGAAGGAAAATGAGAAATCTGCCCTCACCCAGATTCTGATTAAAGCCACCCATGCCTCCCCTGGACATCAGAAACGTCACCTCTGAAAATGTAGCTCTCTACCTGGAACAACCATTTTTTTCCATTTCGCCCATAAGCTCCTTGAAGGCAGGGTCTGTGGCAGGACCTAACATGTGACTTGGGCAGTCCAAACCTCATAGACCATTTGGTGGGTACAACTAAGAGTCCATCTGCCAGAATACCTCTCTATACATCAAAAAATGCTTCTATGCTCAGCTACAGAAGTCAAGAGTAGGGAAAATCTGTACATCTCTATATCCTTCTTTCTAAATAAGAAGCTCAAGAAAACTATGGATTTTGGCTAGCAGAAATAAACTAACCAGCATGGAGGAAAAATCAAGTCATAGTGGATAGAGAATCAGGCTAGTATTCAACAGGGGAAGATCGTTTATATATAGCTAATCCTATATTAAGTGAAGGTCACAAAGTAAAGTGAAACACTGAATAGAAATGGCCTACATTGGCCACTGTTTGATCAGAGGCCATTTTTCAGGGTTAATTACTTTGGCTTTTTCTCACTTTTTGCTACAATGATTATTTTTTGTGGTTTTAGGAATTTATGAGGTTCTCTTTTATGTTTAGAACATAGGATCCAACTAAACAGAATTCTGCAAATTGCTACAGTTGTGTGAGAATATGAGCCTGGAAGAAGGATTCTGCACAAAGCGACACTGTAGGGTGCCATATTTATCCTCTTTTAATCACCACTATGTCAAATGAGATCATTTTGGTAGGAAAATGGCTTTTTAAACTGCTAATGTAACAAACTCCTTCTAAGAGTCGATTGGTACTCTCTCTGTCTCTTCCATCCTCCTCATCACGTCCATGGTTTGGCTTCTGCAGTTAAGACTTGGTTGGCTGTATGGAGGCTGAGACCCACAGGGCAGTTCCTGTCACCCTGGGCGGAAGTATCTGCTCCATAGAGCAACTCTGGCACACGGCATGCTCCCAATAGGAGTGTGAGAATAGACGCAGAAGTCAATTATTAGGATTTTTGGAATGTGCCAACTTAGCAGTCACGTTTGTGACCAGAAGGTATTCAAGAAAAGAAGAAAACATATATTGATAAGGGAAAATACCCTCAGTTTTTGGTCATCTTTGTTTGATTCATTGTTTGGCTCCAGCAACTACTAGAACATGGAGAATATAAAGGTTAAGGGCAGAATTTCAAAAAACAAAACAAAACAAATCTACCTGTGCAGATGGAAAGCACGCATTCCACAATCATTTGCTCAAATAATTTAAGCAGCATTACTCATTATAATAGTGGTCCTTTTATTCTCAAAGGACAGCCTTTAACAAACAAAGCCTAAGAAGGAAGATATTTTAGTATTACTCCAACTAGCTGCCCATTAGAATGTCCCTTTAAAAAGGAGAAATGTATTCAGGTTTTAACAAAATGAATAAAAATGAACTAAAGTAATGCTGTAAAACACCCTAAATCATTCTCTGATGTAAATAATTTCTGACCTGAATTCCTTTGAATTTGGCAAGCTCAGAACTTTCTTTATAATTTTCAGAGGATGCGTTTTTCTTTGTTTAAGAACCTCATTTGTTTAAAAATTGTTTTTGAGTGGTTTTTGGCCACCAACTCTTCCTGGGGTTTACTTGGCTCAGATTTGTCCAGAAGCTAATTCTGATTCTTCTGTCAAATGCTCGATGGCACCGCGTTCCCTGCTCTCCTGAAGGCCTGGCACAGCACAGGTGAGCAGCTGACCACACCAGGGATGGGGCTGCGCTTGCAGGGAAAAAGAGAGCTATCTAATTGTCTGAGTTTCAGGGTTAGGGTTTAACCCAGGAGATCTCCCACTTAAAGCAAGGGGAAAATCTCTTCTCCAGATAAGCCTGGGCACTTTATTTCAGATGGCTTCAGCTGGCTTCAGCTGGCTTCAGCCGTCTAGGTAGGAAAAGAATTTCTTTTCACTGAGCCCTTTGTGTAGATGGGAGTTCCAGGCTCCAAAGGACTGCGGGAGCAGCTTTAACCTTCCCTCTTCGGATCTGAGGATTGCTGCTGCTCTGTAGCCTGATAAACCCCTCCTCCTCAAAAGTGGAGACATTGAGGATCTTTTTGTTTGTTGTTGTCGTCAAGGTATCATAAATATGGGTGTCTCCTCCTCATTGTCAGTCAGGGAGGAGAGGTTTATTAGAGAAACGTGACTAATTTCATGGGCCTTAGAAATGTGACATCTTCGTAAACTTCACAGAATTTGATTTTGGATTTGAATGCCCTGAGTTCTCAAAAGTCCCCCTGAACCAATCTCTTGTTAACTTAATGTATCCAGGTTTTACTCAGTGTCCTTTGAGAACACCGTGGCACCTGAGACTCTTGCCTTATACAATAGTAATGTGTGCAATAATAAAATCTCCTGAGTCAATTCTGCAACTGTTTTACAAGTCACTGCATAGTCAAACATTTCCTACCATCTTTGATTTGCAGACAGAAAAAGCTTCCATTGTTCAGATTGATTTTTAATGGCAAGTCTCTTTCTTGAGTGCCAAAGTCCCCGACACAAAGGTAGGTTTGATGTCTATAAATCTCCCCAACCAGGCTCCATCACTCTCTTCTCCCCAGCCTTTGGTATACCGCCTTCAAGAACAACACTCCTTCACTCCTCCTTGAAGCCACGAAACTCATCCCTGTTCGTGTTCCTCTGAGTCTCTCCCTAAGACGAGGAAGGGATGTGCTTTAGGGGTGGGGAGCGGCATGGTAGTGAATGTGGTTAGGAACATGAAAGGCAGTTTATTCTCACGGTTCAGTCACTGGCCCACCCTCCGGGCTCTTGGACTGGCCTACCTTGGCATGCAGACTCTGTGGTTTGTTGGAGAGGATATCTGCAGCTTCCCTGCAGCGGGTGGAAAGGTTCAGGATGGCAGCAGCTGCTGCTATGTGGGTGTCTTCACTACATTGACCGTAGCTATAAGAGCTGGCACGGCAAGGGCTCTGTGTGTGGGCGCCTGCACTAGGCAGTCGATTAGGAAATTTCCCTGGATTTGAAAAATGCTTTGCTGTTGAAGAGAGATTTGATTAGCAAATTGCATGTACGTGTTTTAGTCATTAAATAGATTTGTTTTAGAGATATAACTTCTTACATTAAAATATGTTAAGAATAAATTAAAACAGGATCCATTACCTATTGGTACACTCAATGAAAGTTATTCAGATTGGCTTTCACAAAAGTTCACAGATCAAATGATGTGATGGCTGGGGAAGAATGTCTGTTCTCTTAATATTTTTTGTATTTTCACTTCTTACGGTAAAAACTCTATAACTAATGTTATGGGGCAGGTGCACTGGCAGCATTCATGGCAAAAATTATGGATTAAAACGACACTGGCAAAACCCATCAGGGACTACAGAGGCTTAAGGCTTGTACATCTATTAACTGTGTATGTGTGAAGACCAGTTATTCCAGTAGAGGAAAAAAATGCACCCTTTCGATATTTGTTTTCACAGTAACAATTTATATTTAGACATAGAATTGCATTTTTATTATTTGATATGCAGGTTTGTTTTGTGCTTACACTAGTAGAAGTTCTTCTTAATGTCCAACTAGATGAAACTAAATAAATGGCAGAGTCTTTTAATGAGCTAGCATTTTGCATATTTAGGTACAGCATGATAAGTAAAGGACAGAGCAAATGTTCTCAGGGTGAGCAGAAAGGCAATTTAGTTATCAAGGCTGAGTTTCTGTTTTATGTTTCTGTTGTGGCACCAAGGTATTACTGAGAGAGAGAATTAACCATATTTCTCTTCACTCTGGGTGTTTGTAAACATCGCTCAAGGTTACAGGAGAAACACCCAAGATTTAAGTGGAATCATATAAAAGCATTTAGTTATTTATTTTGCGGCAAATATTCTTTATTCCTAACTTTGATCATTCTTTTTCATGAAGTAATTTAAAACATTACCAAATGTTATTCTTACAATTATAAAAATGTAAAAAATGTCACTGAACGTTTGCATTTTTAAACAATATCTGTATTATATGAGTATATAGAATGCTTTTAACTAACTTCGCTTGAATTAAACATATATGTATATGTGTATGCATATGTGTATATTTTACGTGTATATAATAGAAAACATCGTGCATGTGTGCGTATATAATTTTTTCCCCGAATCTAACAGGTTGTCAGTGTTATGTAAGCTGAGCCTTATTTTTAGAAAGAATAGATAAAATGTCTTTTGGAGTATAATGTACATGTTGTTAATGGGCCAACTCCTTTCAAATATGTTTATCACTGCTAGGTTTTATATAACATTCTAGTTCTTTCAAAGAAGTGACCAACATCACATAATGAAGCCCATATTATGTGTTTCCAAGAGCACTCAGTCTAGGTCTGGAGGTATGAGATCAAAGGGATTCCATGGATTTGCCTGTGGTGAAGAATCCATAGTCTATGGAGGACCCAAATTGGGGAATTATTTCACTTCTTTCCTTATGATATCATAATGCAAGATTCATGCCTGGGTTTTTCCCAATGTTCACTTTCTTACCTTTTCATTAGACTATTCAAGGACTCTAAAACACTTGAAGAAATGTGTTAGTAAAAACACCAAGTTGTGCATATTATAGCATCTTTGAGTCATGATCTTCTATATGGATGTGTTACCAGTACAGTATTAACACATTTTAAATGATTCTATATTAATTCTCCAATATGTGGATAAACATCTCCATAGTCACACATATTGAACCTATTGTAAATTCTTGATTTCTAAACTGTGAGTTTTTTCTGGGACTTTTCACTTTTTCTCTCTGGGTCTGAATGCTTTTGCTGGTTTAAATACTATTTTAAGTAGTATTTCAATATTTTACCTGTTAAATTTCCATAATTCCAACATGAATCAAAATTACTGTATTGTGATGACTATTACAGTTTTCATTAATCCCAATCCCAGCTAAATGTGAATTAAATATTTCTTTAGAATTACAGTATTTCAATCCAACAATGGCATGATATTTGGAGAATAATCCATTAACTATTCACCATATTCAGTGTAACTTCATGTAAAATCAGAATACTGATCAACTTATCATTGTTTTCCTTATTTTACTTCGCTGTACAATATATTTTCTCTTCTCCCTGCAGTAAATAATGTATTCTGTATTTGAGCACACCCCCAGCCCCAAACACACATAGAAAAGATGCATTTTTGGGAATAAGGATTAGAATTTGAGGCTTACATTCAGGAAATGGTGGTGTTTTTCGTCCTTGACTTGTTTGTATGAGGGGGCGTTTACCAAAAACCTGGGCATCGAAACTGGCATAATCGAATGGTACTTTTCCAAACTTCTCTTGTTCTTTTGACACCGTGGCTCTGGGAGAGGTGATGGCTTGTGATCGGAAATTGAATTCAATTTGTTTCACCAAGCTTGTCCTGAAGAAAGAGGGGAGAGTTCAAAAGAACTATGGTGAGCATATTAGCATCAGAATTTAAAGCAGATCCAATGTGTCATGCCTATCGGTACCCACAGAGATAGTGTACTATGGAAAAGAGCTGTGGTCACAGTATGATAAAAATAGAGTGCTCTGTGCTGGGAGTGAAAGATGGGAGGCACCAAGGGCTCTGGATGGTTATGGAGAGGCTGCATGTTGTGGGTCCGAGTCTCCCATGGGTAAAAGAGGAATGTGCAATTTTGCATTTGTCTTATGCAGATGCAATGAGCAGCAAGTATTTAATGTCTGTTAGCACTTTGAGCTCCACAGAGAAAAGTGCCATGTAACTATCATTAGGGCACTGACAAGGTGTGCATATTCTGCTTATTAGGACTGTTAATTTGACTGGTGGTAAAAAGTCAGTCACGTTTGTAGCTGGTGGGGAAATGGCATTGTAGTCAGTTCAGAAGAAGCAATGCTGAGCCCCACTCCTTCAGCAGAGCTGACAGGAGCCTGACACCTAACAGGGGCAGCACAGGCACCAGAAACTTGACTTCTGAATTGTGAATTTCTTAGGCTTTTCACCTTTTTTCTCTTTTGTCTGAGTGTTTTGTTGATGTAAATAATACTTCAATATTTTATCTGTTAAATTGTTATTTCAATATGAATCAAAATTCTGTATTGTAATAGCTATCACATTTTTTTTCAATAGAATTACCTTAATCCAAGCTGTGAGTTAAACATTCTCTTACAACTAGTGTATTTGGATTAAACAAGGGCATCATATTTGTGTAGCACCAATTCCAGCCAAGAAAAACACAAACATAGTCTAATGGTAAATGAACATAAACAATACACTTTTTGGGATTTAGCAATATCAAAAGAACATACATGTTTTTCTTTTGTTTTCCACCAAAACATGCCTGAATCATCAGAATGTCAAAATTTCAATGATATTTCTTGGATTATGTAAAAAACATTTTAACTGCTACATAAAAATATTAAATAATTAGTTGATCTTATTATTAGATATGTAACTTGGTTTATACCCCTAATACACCAGCATTCTAGTCTAAAACAAATTTATTTTTAAGAAATTAACAAAATAAAACTAAATGCCATTTCTATATTTGATAGATAACCTACTTACGGAGAAACTAGAGGATATGGCCATATTAACCAAAAACCTTGTTGTTAAGATTTTTAATTGCTAGTTATTCAGTAATTCATGACCTTTGCTTGACATATGTTCACTCATCTGATTTTGACTCTTTTAATTAAATCTATAAGAGCAAATATTAAGGGAAGCCTTGTCTTGAAAATACTCCTAATAACAATGTTGCATTTCAGTGTTTTAGTAACAGTGAAGATCTGGTCATCTGTTTTAATCCTGAAATCACTTTTCCTACCTATATGTTATTATTAATAAATGTATAACTTCAGGGGCACCTAGGTGGTTAAGCGTCTGCCTTTGGCTCAGGTCATGATCCCAGCGTCCTGGGATCGAGCCCTGCATCGGGCTCCCTGCTCCGCAGGAAGCCTGTTTCTCCCTCTCCCATTCCCCCCTGCTTGTGTTCCCTCTCTCGCTATGTCTCTCTCTGTCAGATAAATAAATAAAATCTTTAAAAAAAATAAATGTATAACTTCACATTGTGTCATCACATGTGGTTTATTATTTAAGTGTAAGTAAGGTCTTCCAAACTGCTGGAGATTGTGAAGTACCTGGGGCAAACAGGAGATATTTCATTAATACTTATCAAGTCATGGAATGAAATTTTGTCTTAAATTATATGTATAGCTGGAACAGAGGAACGAATATATAACATCACATATTTTGGGTGGGTGTGAGTGACTTATGAAAGCATTATCTGCAGGCAGAAATGTTAATCATCGGGAGAGCTTACCTAACTAGTGGGATGGGTTGCATTTAGTGACACAGAATTTTGATTAATGTATGTTATATACTTTATTTCCTTTAGATTCATCCACATTATGTTACCTTTACATACAGATTAATTTCATGTTAAACTTCTGGGGGGGTCTAGCAGTTCATTTAAGTGAGAGTATGATTAACTAGACCAGCCTCTCAAATAGAAATCCGTAGTTGCGAACGAAGGTCGGGCCATAGTGAACTGGCACACGAGGGGAGACAGACCCATTGAGGCATGGACAGACTACTAGGAACGCAAGGGAGGGTCATACCTGTGAACCTGGTCAGGACACTGCCCGGTTTTGGGAGACTCAAGCTGATTTTTGTCCTGGGACATTGCCAATTTTTCAGCTGCAGCAATTGGACAACCAGAAAGACTGTTAAAAAAAAAATAAAAAGGGACGATTTGGGTTAAAAAGATAAAGTAATTTGCTTTGGCATGTACCTCACAGCATACTTGGCACACATTAAATGTTAAGTCATATTAATAGTTCATTTAGCACTTTTCTCATGCTAATAGATCCCAGAAAGGTTTTGCAAACTACCGTGTCAACGTTTGCCCCACATTTCCATCTCAGAAGTGATGAGTAATGAACTCGTTTTTAAAATCGGAAAATTTGTAAGGGAATTATTCTGAAACTCCATAGAAATTCACCCACTCCAATTGCAATGTGCCCAGCTATAGATGTTAGCATGACAATTCCATGATTTATCTTAAGATATTTAGAAAAATGTTAGGGACTTAATTTTAAATCAGTTTAAAGTATAGAACATGAAGTTTTCTGGCAATATGCTTATTAGTCACATAGTATCTTGTGAGCACATAATAGATATGCAGCATAAAGTACAAATAAAACAATAGGCATTCCCACCAAAAACATTTGCATACACACAATACATTTGTAGATAAATGCACATATGTGTTTTAAGTGAGTAGCAATCTCAATGTAATGAATCTCAATGAGATGAAATGATGTTTACCTTCCTCCTGGCTTATAGTCAGAACCACAGTAGATGGAAGCCCTTTTGGTACCTTGTTAATGCTTATTGGATGGGATCCAAGATAAACCCTATGCAACTCTTTTCAGTGTCAAAACGGCTATGGTAAAGTTCCAGAGTAAAAAAGAACATGTTCTATTTGTGTAACTATATGAATGTATAACTCTAGTCTTCAAATATAACATTTTTTTGTTTGCATAACTGGCTGCTAAATGAAAATTTCTAGGAAGGTAAATTGTGGGGTTTTTTGTTTGTTTTTTACTCGGCACACATTGAGAATATTTATCTATATCGAGTGGTAACATATTTGATAGTGACCCAGCGATTTTGATGACACATTGTTAGTTGCTTATTTTCTTGGTGGAAAGTTTCTCTCACTTCTCTTTGTAAGGTAAAAGTGTAGCATCTCATCACAATTACCTCCTGTGGGTGTTGCGGTTGCTGTTCACGTGCCCTCTTCCTGTGCATCCCGGGGTGGGACACTTGAGCACGTTTTCATGCATGGCAAGAACTAAGCACAAAATATCACAAAAAGAAAAGAATAGTATACCATGAATATATAACACACAGACAAACTGACTTCTCAACGTTGCATTCAAAAGAATTTGTTTATATAATCTGCCATTCTTCCTCCCATAGATGTTTGGGTTGAAATTAATGAGCACTTAAGAACTTCATAAATTAAATACAGCAAGTTTGTTCAAGTTTTAGTTTCTCTAATAAACTTCATGTCATGGTTAACACTAGACTTAAATAAGACTATGCTGTTTCTATTTAACTTAAACTGAGAGGCTCATAACCTTCCTTTTACATTTATGTGCTTTTCCTTGGAAGAATGGATGGAGAACATTATTTGTCAAGTAGTTCCTTTTATCTTTTCCCCATGGTGTGAACTTCTGAATATAGTCTTCTTTATTTTCTAAGAGATATTACTTTGAATCTTGTCCATTGCTCCCCACTACCCACCCCACTGCCACTCAGTTATTGGTAAAAGAGCATGGTTGAGTGAACAACCAGGTAATCACTTTGAGGAACTGCTAATCTACTGGGACAGTGCTGAACAGATTAGACTCACCGATTTGTAAAACTGTGCTTCCGAGAAGGGTGATGCTGAGGCACTCACACCACTATGGTTTGTATGAACCAAAGGTGTCTCAATACGTAGGTTAAAATAGTAGAGGATGTAGCACATTGATACTTCAAAACTTAGAAGGCAGCCCTTTCCTTCTCCTCCAATTTCCTAGCTCACAGCAGGGCAAAGCAAACCAACGTTTGCTCTTGCTCAGGGCCCTCTACTACTGCAGGATGCCCTGGGGAGACATGGCAGGCAACACAAGTTCCTACAAGGAACGGGGAGACCGGGAGTAAGGAGGACAGGGGTGATGTGGTGCACTTTTTTTTTTTTTTTGAGAAGACTCCAGGCCCAGTGTGGAGCCCAGCTCGTGGCTTGAACTCACAACCTTGAGATCAAGACCTGAGCTGAGATCAACAGTCAGATGCTTAACCAACTGAGCCACCCAGGAGCCCCTGGGATGCACTTCTTATATTTAGATGATGCACTGAGGCTAAGACTGCTCCTGGGCTTAAGGCAGCCACACTCTGGGTGAGAAAGGACTATGCAGTCCACGGTGTATTAACCATGCCTTTTATTTTCTGCATTCTGATATTTTGTCATCTGGAGCCTTGCAAACCCTGGAGACACTGCCCTTTCAAAGGTAAACCAACCAATTGTCAGCCCACACCCAACTGCCTCCTTTATTAGACTCACACTCTCCACCTGCCAGGTATCAGACACCAACAGACAACCCCCAAGCTTTGGAGCCTACTGAAAGAAGTCAAACTAGCCAGTCCTCAGCCTGTTTACTCTGCTCCTTCCCGCAGAAACCATTTTCCCCCCTGCCCCCACCCTGGCCCCTGACGACCTGGTGCCACTCTGTGTGGCCCTGCCTGGCGTGGCACGTCCCCTTCCCTCAGGAACTGTAACAAATTCTCTTCTCAGTGTTGGTTGTCTCCTGATCTACTGTCCTAATTGTACCCCTAAGTTTTCTATTAATACACTGACTTTAAACACCCAGCTAGATGGAAATTGTCTTGACACAGAAAGGAAACTTTGTATTTCCACTCCGAATTCCACATTGAAGGAGAAAGAAGATAAGGTCATGATGCTGTGGTGCATAAAAGAAGAAGCCTACTGGTTTTAGGGATAAGTTGTACTCACTTTCCAGGGGAACCCGCACTTTGTGGGGGCACCCCGAAAGGCTGCGGTGGTGGGGATAGAGTCCCGTCACATGTCCTGTGCCATCGCACCCGGGGATAGGGCACTTGGTCTCCCTCTTTTCGGGCCTCGGTGAATCTACAGAGAAATTAAATCAAGAAATTCATTTGGCTCTTCTTTCCCTCCCCATTCACTAGAGTGGCCTTGCAAGGTGACATTCTCACTTCACTCAGTTTTTTACAGCATAAACATTCTTCTCACATTGCCTTGAATAAGACTCTCAACTAAGACCTGTGGAAGCATAAAAAATGTTTTCAGTTTTCTTGGTTTTCTAAGCAAAGGCTGACACAGGGCTAAGGAGTGTTAAAATACAGAGATAGTTTTAAGTTGTCATGTCACATATTGTAGTTAGAGTCTCATTATGAAAAATGAACCCTACGGGGCGCCTGGGTGGCTCAGTTGGTTAAGCGACTGCCTTCGGCTCGGGTCGTGATCCTGGAGTCCCGGGATCGAGTCCCGCGTCGGGCTCCCTACTCGGCAGAGAGTCTGCTTCTCCCTCTGACCTTCCCCCCTCTCATGTGCTCTCTCTCTCTCATTCTCTCTCTCAAATAAATAAATAAAACCTTAAAAAAAAATGAACCCTACGTCAGAGGCAGAGGATGCACAAGCTCCCAAAAAGGGGGGAAAAAAGGTGAGAAAGAAGAAAGAATGTATTTAAACCAAACCTATCTCTTATTGAAAGGGTCTCAAGAAAGCCAGATTCAAAATGATAAAACAAAGAAGCCACCATATCTGAGAAAGGCTGCTCTGGTGTTGTCCCTGTGGGTCCCTGGCCTCCCGTGGCCCTAAGGTTCCAGGGCCAAGTGGCTACTCCCACATGTGTGCAGAGTCCACTCCGGCCAGAGTTAGGAAGGGAGTCAACAATGCCATTGTGTGCTATGGCCATGCAGTCGGCAGTGCTGCAGAGGCCCCAGATCCCCAAACTCCGATGTTTTGCCTCTTTGGATCAGTACAGAGCCCCTACGGAGAAGCAGCATTCATTTTACTCTGAATGCAGAAACTGAAAACCCAGGCGATAGGAAGACGGCCCGGCAGGGAAACGTTCCAGGAGGTGTGGGAATACAGAGTGGGGACGGCCTTGAGTGGTCTGCGCCGCCAAGAACATTGGGGTGCGGGAGGGGACCATAGGTGCCACGGGTCGGAGAGAAGGGGCAACTTGTAACACCGCTTGTCAGGCTACAATGGGGCATTGGCCTAGAGGGGGAGGGCGGAAGACAAGCTGGAGTTTCAATCTTCTGGTGCACACTTTGCTGAGGCTTAGATGAAAGCCTGTATAAATATGTAAAATAAATGAGGATTATCATGAATATTGGTGGGGTTAGAGCTAACAGAGAAGAGGCCTTCTGTAGACATTTTCATATTCGCGATCCAGATAGTAAGTACATAAACTTAAAACAGAAATGCCTAGTTGGAGCCCAGATCAGCCCCCTAACCTGTGCCTGGAATGATGTACCAATCACTGGGGCAAGCTTGTCACTCAGCATTGCCGGAACCAGCATTACAACGGGCACGGGGGCCTCAGAGAAAGGACCAGTGTGGACTGGAGGCTGGCCGCAGGCTTCTCAGAACACGAAGTATCAGGAATAATGAATCCACTTGATGCTGAGAGCGAAAATAAATAATCTGTGTGATCCTGCCTTAGGAAAGCTGCCGGTGGTGGACTAGGGGGCAGAGTCCTGCCATGTGAGGATGTGGAGGGTCCATATGCTCCTGCTCCAAGCGTGCTACCGAGAGCAGAGAAATGTCACGGGTTGCGACAGACATCTCCAGGGTGGAATATTGCGATGAGCAGACATGCCTCTGTGATACCACACCACCCCAGTTGTTGGATGATAAACGGTCCTGGGCAGATAGGCACAGCAGGTTGTATGTAATGCAATTATTTGGGGGCATGCTTTCAGTACAGGGGAAGGAGCCAAGGATCCTTCAAGTTAGGCACACACTGCCTGGGAGGGAAGGTCAGCAGAGAGAAAACTGGAAATCGAAAGAGAGAAATGAACAGCCCAAAGACAGGGATACCTTGAGTAGCAGACATTTATGTTTCATGAGAGACAGGACTTAAATGCCCTGGTATTGGGACTGTTCTCTGTCTTTTGCAAGAAACAAAGAGGCATATTAAGAGTTTTGACATGTTCTATGATTTTATGGCTATATATTTTACTTAATCCAAAAATGTTGCCAAATTTGAAGTTGTTTCAGGCCTATAATATCTGTAGACGGAAAGTTGAAAATCCTTGAAGTTTGATTCAAGTGACATTAGGGGGGTTGACACTGTGTACGAGAGGGAATTAGAAACGAGGAGAAGCAAGGTGGATTTTGATGCCCTTCCTCCCTTGGACCTGGTCCAGGTGAGGCCACATTTCTAAACCACATTGAAAGGTTTGGCGCCGCGCATTTCCCCTCCTTGCCACATTATTTTTCTATAGGAAGCCAGAGAGGGTGTGGGAGATAAGGCAGGGCTGGCACCTGACCAGGTGTGGTCCTCTGACAGACTGCAAGCTTCCTCTGCTGGGCGAGACAGATGCCATGAAATGCTCTGTGGGGCAGAACCTGTTTGCATGATAAGAAGCCAGAGCTTGAGCTCTCAGGTGACTCTCAGGCCTGGCTCTTCCTCTCCTTTTATTTTCTTTGCTGAATGCTGCATAATGAGAGTGACCTTATCCTCTGGTGACCTTACACGCCCGTATGCCCGGGACTGTCTTATTCACACCTGATATTATCCTGCGGTTGTTCAGAGCACTCCCCTTGGCTCTGAAAAGTGTCTTAGGCTGTACAATAAGTTCTATGGTGACTCCACATGCGCTTTGACATAAAGTCTCACTAAATGCTTAGTAGCAACAAGATAGTCATTTTTTTTTTTTTAAGAATTGCTGACTCATCTGAAGCCTTGGGTAAAACGATATTTTAAAATGTAGTGCTCTCTCCTTTAACAGCAGGGTCGCATACTCGAGGTATACGCAAAATTAGGATGGTATTGTGGAGAGCATGAATTGTCAGTCAGTACAAGTATTGACCTAGGAGCATGGAATGCACACCAGAGAAAGAAGCCATTGTCTCCCACAACCGGGACAAGGAACAGGAAGGTGAATACCTAATTTGGACTCTGCAAGTATCCTCTAGACAAAGCCTATAATTCCCATGCATTATGGGCTTTACCTCTTTTTGCCTGTTTCATACTAGTCTGGTCTGGATCTTCTTGCATAGACTTTGAATACGAAAAGGCAGGACCATCCCTCACCCAATAGGATATACTGTTGAGTCAGCCAGACTCATTCATAACTCTCTAAATCTTATATCACCCATGTTTACAAACACAGATTCTACTGCCTTGTTGGTTTTTGAAAACAAAAATTTTTAAGTTCTATAAAAATGACCAAAGGATTGTTAAGTATTTTAAGCTACGGAACAAATAATTAAAGTTTCTCCAAACACTGAATTTCACTGGCTGGAAGGTATCACCAATTGTAACATGGAACATCATTTTGTGTGTTAGCAAAGAAAGAAAAAAAATTATTGAAAACTAAATTATGACACACTCTTCTGATTTCAGAGATGTTAAAATGGGAAAACTGTGTATCTTAGAATGAATGAAATATAGTAGATGACAAATTATGATGTTTTGGGATTTGAAGTAAATTTTGTCTATTTTTTTTTTTAGTTTTGTAGTCCATAAAAAAAAAATAACAAACATACACACAGGCAAGTTTAGCAAGTTGCATATTAGTAGAGTGCACAGAGTTCATAGTGGGTCCTGTCCCAAACCATACACTGCTAATTGATATTCTGTCTCGGTCCCAACCCTGGCAGTGTGTTTGCATAGTATTATTATCTTGCTCCTCACTACATGACATTTTATTCTTTGTTTTGTTTTCTCAGCTCTGAGCTGCAAGACAATAATTGACAAGATTGTAGGTGAGTACTAAAATAGACCCAACATGACAAAATATACAGTTCATTTCTGCATAAATCTCAGCAAGCAGATCATCCAAACCATAACTAACATATTATTCTTGTAAGCTCCCTGGGGCCATGATCTTGATTTTCTTTAAGATATTTCTAATTCTATGGTTCTTAGACTTTAAGGTACGCAGGAATCATCTGAAAAACGCGCTTAAAAAAATGCAAGTTCTGGAGCAGTAAGTCTGATAGGATCCTGGAAATACCCATCTTAAACAAGCCTTCTAGGCACCTGAGAACCACCATTTGGGAATTATCACTAGGCCCATATGGTGTAAGACTCAGCGTGGGGGGTGGAGTAGCATTATGGGGGATGGGACACAATTTCCCTAAAGTTGAGGAACAGTTTTAAGGCCTCCTCCAAGCACATTTATTCTTCTCATTCATGTTTGGACTAGACATTTGTGGCCCTGAGTTAGAGAACTGATAAAAGCATCGGCTTATAAAGGCATTAACATCCAGTTTTATCCTGCCTGACTTGCCAGTAGCTCGACATAATTTTGAAGCTCCAAAGGAGTCAGATGATCCCAGAAAGAAAGTGGGAAAGAAAAATTAAATTTATGGAATTGATTTCATTATAATAAAATGATTTAAAATCCAAAAAGTACTAATGTACCTCTAACATGTCCAATATAGTACTGTACAAGTACTATATATTTTTTAAAAGCTGTCAAATTAAGAGAAAAAGAGGCAATGATTCTTTTTTTGTGTGTAAAAACATTGCAAAACTGACCAAGCTTGATCTGAGAACAACCTAGAGAGCAGAGAGAGAGAGAAAAAAAAGAAATAGTTTATTTTATAATATGAATTGGTTTTTTAAATTGCATCAAGTTGTCAAAAGCTATCTGGAAGGGGTAATCAAATCTTACTAATTTTTCCTCCAACACTCAAAGAAATTTTATTCCTAAAATAAATGCAAAAAAAAATGTGTCTTACGTTTATTGTTAAAGATTTGTCTTCCACCCATGTCAATAACTTTGGTTTGCCTCCTTTCCCCAGCAAGGTGCTCCAGTAGAAACCTGTCCAACTCTTTGTAGGTGTTGTGGAAAACACAACCTCGCTCAGCCTGGAGAGCAATTGCCTGCTCCAGCAAACTCAAGTTCCCCTTCGCCTTCTCCCGGTCAACAGACTCTTCTGTCATGCCTTCCAGACACTCATTATCTTCTTCCTCCATCCCAGCAAATGAGGGCTGGGCTTTGCTGTCCCGTGGTTCCATGTGAGCAGTCTGTGGGTCTCTCCTTTCTGTTTCAGAATCACACATGTTTTCACAAGAGATAAACTTGTCACCTTCAGTTTTTATTTCAGGAACTTCCAATAGGTCTTTTCTATTATCCACTAAAATATACTTTGGGACCCTGTGTGGTTTGGTTTCTTCTGAGAAGTTGGAGCTACTGTCCCAACCATTCTCCACACTTTCAGAGTTACTTTCACTGTCATCTGAGGAGCAGAACTGAAGCTGGGAATCATCGATTTTTTCTTTTCCATCATCAGAATGAATCATAAAGCACTCATCAGCTTCATCACTCTCTGCTTTTAGAGACTGGATGCCACTGTCATTTAAATTCTCACTTATGGTCTGAACAGAAACATTTTTTTCAAATTTTCCCAAGTGCACTAAAGATTTGACCACGAGCTCTTGATAGCAGCCATATCTGTCTTCCTTCCCATCAGAGTTTTCTTGTGCAGTCGAATGAAGGTTCTCATCCATAGGTTTTATCATGATTTCTTCTATGGAAAAAGAAAGCCAATATTTAAAAAACAACAGCAAAAGATATTTTAAGAAAATTGCAGCAATATGTAGATGATAGATTTATATATATTTACACAATAAGTACAATATGCAAATATGTGGGCTCTATCAATTTTCTAAACACTGAAGAGAAAAATATATATGAATGAATATGAAGCAAAACAAAACAGACCTTAATATTCTGGGAATTGCATTTAAAGAAGTGAGCTAGTAGAATTTTCAGCATATTAAGAGCTAATTATTTCCAGGATACTGAAATAGATACTTAACAATAACGGAGTGCTGAATGTGAAATTGTTGTAACTGTACCTCTTATATTTGCAAATCTTAGCCAACCAGAAGGAAATCAAATATGCATAATACTATGCATTATAAAGGAAACATTCATCAGATTTCTCTGCTAGCATGGCAATGTATTTTCAAAGCTTTTTTTTTTTTTTTGATGTAGTGATGTAGTGTTCCATGATTCACTGTTTGCGTATAACACCCAGTGCTCCATTCAGTATGTGCTCTCTTTAATACCCATCACCAGGTTAACCATCCCCCCACGCCCTCCCCTCTAGAACCCTCAGTTTGTTGCTCAGAGTCCATGGTCTCTCATGGTTCGTCTCCTCCTCCGATTTCCCCCCCTTCATTTTTCCCTTCCTGCTATCTTTTTTTTTTTAACTTGTAATATATTATTTGGTTTATGTTCACTACCTCCACAGTTTCTCAAACATACTTCCAGATTTTATGGAATGTTAGCTACAAGATAAAATACATCCACATACAGATGATAACTAAAAGAGTTCTAAAGCTTTCAAGGCTTCCTGTTGACTTTCAGAACTGTCACACAGAAATTCCATGCCAACGGAAATACAAGTAAATGGGAGAATTAGCATGATCAAATATCTTTTTTAAAAAGGATTATTTATTTATTTATTTATTTGAGAGAGAGAGAGAGAGAGAGAAAGAGGGACTGAAAGAGAGCGAGATTGAGAGCAGACGGAGAGAATCTCCAGCAGGGAGAGGCTGAGCACAGGGCCTGCCACAGGGCTCGATCTCACGTCCCTGAGAACATGACCTGAGCTGAAATCAGAAAGTTGGAAGCTTAACCAACTGAGCCACCCAGGCTCTCCAGCATGATCAAATATGTAAAATAGTGGCACATTTTCTGGCCTGGTACTTGCATGCATTTGTGTAAGAAGGCAATGAGACGAGAGGTGGAGATGGTTGGAGTATGTAGAACATTAACTAATTGTTTTCAGAAGCGGGCCGACTGGAGTCTTAACAGTCAAAGAGCCTGGGGACTAAGAACAGGTCTCCACGTGCCAGTCTGTCCAGGACAGTCCACTGGATCTGTCCCAGTCTGGTTGTCAGGGTTATCCCCTTCCCTCTTGGAGTGGCCCAGCTGCAGTGACAGTATGTGTGTGTCTACAGTCATATGTATGTGTGTACGCATATATATATACACACGTATGTGAGTGTGTGTATGTGTGTGTGTGTGTATATATATAGTATATACATAATGATAGCCTACTCAAGCCTGTCCCAATGCAAACACACCAATTAAGGGTGCAATTCAGGGTGCAGATCTGCTAGTGACCCAGCAGCCCTGGTTTAGCAAGCACAGCGGTCTGGGGAGCATGACACCCAGCATACATGCGGCTGTGTAAAGCGCCAGACAACCCAGGAATGGTCCCCTTATATTCACTAAGACAAAAAAAGAAGAAGAAGAAGAAGAAGAAGAAGAAGAAGAAGAAGAAGAAGAAGAAGAAGAAGAAGAAGAAGAAGAAGAAGGAAGAAGAAGAAAAAAAAAAGCAGGACCGTTTCTGCGTCTCTGAAGGCAAAGTGGGGGATGGGCAACACAAGATAATAAGCCCCCTTAAAGACTGTGAAAGACACCAAGTGTGTTAATAAACATCTTTGGAGGGAAGAAAAGGACAGCCATCCTGTGTGATGGCTGCAGGAGAGGGTGTCTGTGCAGGAGACAATGTGCCTTTTTTGGTCTCATTTAATTTTTTATAAACATTGTCTCTGACAAGGACACTCAAAAATACATCTCCATCATCTTCCTTTCTGGCAATTATCTCCCTAAATCAACACTGGGCTGCCAGGATCAAGTAAATATTGCCATAGTAACTAAAAGCATTTTTGGATGAAGGGAAGAATTTAGTCACAACACTAGCCCCTTTAAATAATGCTGATTATAGGGTGCAGTCTTTTGTTGGGATCTATTCAACATAAACTGAAAAATTTAACATTTTACTTCCTAGAAAAGAGGCTGGATAAACAAGCACATCATATGTGATAGGATGGTCTATTCCCTTCGGAATTCATATCAGAGGAATTCCAGGTTTAAATAATATATTAAACATAGTCTAAAATGCAAATGAAGTTTTTCTCAATATCACGGTTGGCTATTAGGAGAAAGTGTAAAGGGTTATAATAATTTTAAAGTATTATGAACTACAGAAAACAAATAAAAAGCATTTTCAGTGAATATGCTCAATTCATTGAACTGTTCTCTCACTCCACTTAACTACCCACATGTGTACAATAATGATTTATAGACATTATACCTAATTATGCATATTTGGGCTGTGTTAGAGTGCTAACAAAAGCTCTAGAAAGCAACAATTACCTCTGTTGCTTAGCTACATAGTTTAAAATATTCCTATTAAGTGCAGATCACCAGAGAGGCGGGAGTGACAAAAACGCACATGTGCACGACAATGCGTTTCACTGTGCTGCTGCCAACTGCTAGCATTTTGGGTCATTTCCAGTTTACATAATTGTTTGGTTCAACTGTTTGTTATATGCTAAAAGAAAATATTTATTAATTATTCTTCAGAAAGAGAGGAGTCCTGCCGATAGAGGTGCCTACGTGCATCGCACACGATGGTTTCCAGGGATGTTCCGCAAATCTGCAAACCAACTTTCCATATACCCACCCCTCTCTGGCTTTCACTGTCATTAGAAGAAAAAAAAAAAAGTCGAGTTAGCTTTTGAACCTGACAGATCTGTGACGAGGTTTTTGTTTCTCTTAGCTTTGTAATGGGCTGCCTACGTGTTTACACTAGTGTGTTTTTATTTTCATGGGTGGCCTGGAGATTCATTTTGTACCTTGGTCATTGAAACAAGTAACCTCGTTTTGATTCTGGGCTTGTGTGCTCAAGTGCTTGCAAAACCCCAAAGGCATCCTTGACCTTTCTGAACCCTGTGTCCTCATTCACACAGTGAGGCACACTGTGGAATTGACACGGGAGCCCACACAAAGCTGGTGCCACACAACAGGTGTTCAGTAAATGACATCTGTCTTCTCCCTTCCCCAGATACAAGTTCAGAGGATGGTAACGGCAGGGGATACATGGGACTCTCCACATAAATGAGGTGGGGCTTGTGTTCTGTTTAGAATAAGTGGTGAAACTGATCCCTGAGAGAGGGTACAGTCCACAGTGTCAAGGAGGCTCGGCCAGTTTACCACCCGGGCCACGCATGCTATAGAACTGCTCATCAACTGCCTTCAGAAACTGGAGTTTCAATGCACAGTGCACAATGTGGAGGGGAAACCTCAATGGGTTTGAGGTCCAGAGACTGGGGCCGAACTGCTGGCCCAGCACCACCTGCCTGTGTAACCTTGGGGCAGGCCTGTGTTTCCTGAATCCTGGATCCTCATCTTTTAAATGAGGATGATCCCAGTGACATCCTAGGACAATAAACTGTTATGTTCCTGGCATGGTGTTCAGTTCTTTATTGCATTTAATCTTTACAGTAATGACAAGAAAGGGACTTTCTGCTCCATTTTACAGAAGGGAAATGATTTTCTAAGGGGCTAGGGGTTTGCTCAAGATCACACAGCTAGCCAGTAGCGGTGGAGGTGGGGGTGGGGGGCTGACACAGGGCCATCCCTCTGCAACAAGCTACCCCAAATCCCATAGCCCAGGTGGGTCATATGTCTCAACTGATGTTTACATCTTAAGCAACCCTTAGGAGACACTGTTCAGAATACTAATAGTCCATTATTTTCCCAAGTTTGGGTACTTTCAAGGGTAAATTTATAGGAAGATACTAAAATACAATTGTCAGCTGACTTTCAATCAAAAAACAGTGACTCCTAAATTATAAATAAAATATGTAAAAACGAATCAACAGCAATAACAAGACAAAAATTAACAAGAAACCACGCCTCGGCTTTCTCAGTAAAAAAGTGTAGGACAGAAAATTCCTCGGGCACACTCCCCGGAGCTGGGGGGGGGTGCAGTCACAGAGTTGGATGTTTAGCTAGCACACCCCTTTCTCCTCCTGAAAGGATTTCGAAGTGTGGGGCAGGAGGAGGGGCCGGAGCTGGAAGACAACTTCTGTGACATGGAGTAAAAAATAAATAAATAAATGTTTTTGCCTGATATGAAAAAGTTCACATTTGTTTATTTGCTTGAAACCAAATTTCTACTCCAAGGGGTCTGATAATCCTAGAAAGCATATGCTAATGATACTCACATTATGCGTCAGCGGTTCTGTCCCAAAACAACTTTAAAAATTCCTCTGAAAATCACAAATTTGGAGTTTGACTCCTTTAATACAACTGGATTTTATTATAATTGGATTTTAGTTCTGTTTCTGGAACTATCAAAGTTACTTGTATAGATAAATTAGTTTTCCAGGTCTCTTGAATATGTAAATCTTGCTGGGAATAAAAGCCCTAGAAAAATGAACTTATCTTTCAAAGTTCTAAAATCAGAGTGTTTTATCCCTTATTTGCATTTTGTTGAAAGATAAGATTTGTTAAAACGATCATCTCAGCTCCTAGAGCTCCTACAATTGTGATAGATTTCCCTAAGTCATGAATGTGAGTTTAGAAACTGAGGAGGGACTCTACATACGTGGCTAATCTCACTTCTAGGTTACCCTTTTTTTCCTTGTCTGCATTGGGAAACCTCCTAGTAGTTGTCCTACCTCTTGGTAGTACTTTGCAAACTCGTCTTCTGTTTGCCCCAGTGAAGAAGGTGTATCTGTACAGTTTTGTCCACATTCCCTTCTATCACCATTAATACCTACCTGCCGCTCTTGGAAAGACAGCCAGTTGAGGGTATGAGATATCGTTTGCCATTAAATGGATTCAAGCTCAGGACCTTAGCATTCCTAAGCACTGTCCCCTTCATCATCTGGACCACTTGCTGAAGGCATAATTGGGCACACGCCTGCAAGGTAAAGACCTCGGGGTACCCAGAGTAAATGAGACGACAGGTGAAAATCCCCCATTATGAGTTAGGCACTAACTCAGCTCTCTTTCTTTCTGGGCGGCGAGGGGGGGGGGGGGGGTGGGTAACTTGCTCAGAGGACTGAAGACAGCTTAGTCTTTCAACTGGGGATAGGAGCATCTGTGACCTGTCATTTCTGGAAATGTGACTTTGTGATTGGATGTTATATAACACTGCTCTATCTACTTTTGGAAGGTAGTCAGAGCACGGGAGGATTGGATTATGGAGCACAGTTAGCTGGGAAATAATTATTTTGCTTATCCTTCAATTGTGTCCTAATTATCTTCTTTTCAACACCTACAAGCTGCATTACCTTAAGCATTAAATCTCTTTGGTCTTCAATGATCTCATCTGCAAATTTGGGACCATAATCATGCATATCTCATGTCATTGTTGGGTGGATTAAGTGATATAATTTATGCACCTGGAATATATTAAGAATTCAAAAATAATGGCCACTACCACTATAATGTCAGCATATTCATTATTAGTAGTGCTTCCAGTGCTAAATATAAAAATAGATAACATTTGTGAACCTGCAAATAGATGTCCATCAGTGCTTATAACTGAGTGTTTGACTGAGTACATTTTGACAGAATATTTTCTTGGTGGATATTAAGCATCTATGATGATCACACAACTAACATAAAAGGCAGGAAATCAGTGGGCAGATACAGTCCTTGTCCTCATGGCACTTATAAGAAAGGGTTGGTGTAAAAGATGCCCATTTAAAAAAGTACTCGGTGAATTAATGTCAACTAGATGAGTTATACCTTAAGCCTAACCACATCGATTCAAGGACCTTCCCTAGTACTAGATTCAACCTACAATTTTCATAAATCAACAAAAAACTGACCAGCTCAAAGAAACAAAATGAGTCAAGGATGATTATAATTTACAGATGAGCGACGAGGCTTTAAGCCATATGCTAAATATGGAGAAGCCAGGACATTTGCTTAAATATTGTCAAATCAGCATACAACTTTGTTTTCACTACAGAATCTCAAACTACTTGCAAGCCAAGATTACTGAAGATCTAATGGTTGTGCCCTGACATTTGTATTCAGTTGGTCAGTATGCTTTTAACATCTTTTCCACTAATCCCTCTCACTATTACTGTAATTCTGTCTATAATTGATATTTATGATCTAAGAGCCCTTTGCTTTTGGTTTGTATAATACATACTTCTTTTCAAATAACATCATATTTAGTATGTTTTGATTCCTTAAAAAGTCACATTCAGAAAAAATGTATTTCATAGACTATATGTACACCTCATTTCATTTTCTAATCACTCAAGCTTTTGATTTCCATTTATTTTTTTCATAAATTTTTGATATATTTTGCATGTCCTTCAATTTCAGCCTCAAGCACAAAGTGGTTGGTGCTGGTTCAACTCCTGGAGGCACTGTGACTACCATGAACCTAATAGGAGTAACTGTGAACTGGGGAGAAACACATCCTAAAATTTCAAAATAGTAACTATATGTCACTTAGCATGCAAACAGCATTTCGTGAGTAAGTGAAGAATTGAATTCATGAAATATAATGTGTGCCTAAAGGTAACTGAAAATTATTTCAGAACTAATGGGCACAGTGATACATTTTCTATAACACATCATTTTCCTACTGAAGGATCTAGGCTGTCAACTTTAGGTCCCTTCTGCTAAGTCCATTGTTGTAAGTATTTATCTTAAAAATGGTGAAAAGATTAAGGTCACAAGTCACCTGCATTAGTCTGTGTTGTTAATACCTATTATATTTGGGGGGCAAATAATATTCTGTATGTTTATAAAACAAAAAAGTAAATACTTTATATATGTCATATCTTAGATACCTTAAGCTTAAATATGTCCTTTTATTTTCAAGGGTTCTTTCAGGGATAGACATCTGTACTATTAAGGAGTCAAGGTACTCTTTAAGGCTTAGTAGGTTTTATTTTCCTCAAAAAGAGGCACACCCCAATTCTGTGCTTTTGAAAATGGACTCAGGCCAGAACTCTCTATGACTTATATTTAGACTCTCCTGATAAAAAATCAGCTCTCAGTAAATGGATGCTGAGTGAAATAAATGTTTGGTTTTGCTTTCAAATGGGAACTTGCTTCTATAGTCAAACAGACTATATGTTCTACACCAGTTAAGACAGGCTTTGGTGCCAGGGAGGAGATAAAGTCTGGGCTATTCCCGCTTGCTACCTGTGGCAGTGCGATCGCTGGCTTCTGGGAGGCCATCTTCCTCTTCCACCTCAGTCCTGTCATCACATTCTTCTCTGCAGTCCAGGTTTGGGCTGTAGTGTCGGGGCTTCATTAGCAGGGATTTTCTCTTGTTGACTGGGACGCCCAAAGCCTGCTCTGCAGCTTTCCTCTTCTTTGCCATGGAGCAATCATATGCAGTGCTGTAGTGATTGAGGCAAATTAAGAACATGGAGAAAGATTTTACTGCTACTTGCCATTTGAGTTCCATGAAGTATAACCCAAAGCCTGTGGAACCTGGGACTAAAGGTTTAGGGTTAGTTGTTGGCGCTAATGAAAACAGCCCATCCACTGAATCTACTGAACTATGTGGATTCTATTTTACTGCCTATCAGAAGAGTTAAAAAAAAAAATCATCCTTAATCCTGAGTAAGCATATGTTAATCTGTGCTTTGCTTGGCACTACATTAAATATCCAGGGAGGGATGAAACAAGATTTGCACTGGTTTGCTAATCCTAAGAAACAGCTAATGTGAAAAATATACCACCAGACACAAAAAAAGTGTCCAGTATGGATAAATCACAAGGTTTTTCAAATAGTTGTTTGCTACCCAAACTGCTCATCTCTGCTGCAGTTACGCACCAAACTTGAGATGCCCACATCCCAAGCTTTGACCTGAAAGAGAAAAGCATAAAAGGAGGGGCAAGCTAGGAACATTCCATCAACCCATCTCCAGTCACACATATACACACACATTTAAAAAAAAAAAAAAGGTGAAAAGATGTTACCTGGCATTCTGCCTTCTGATTCTCACCCATTTGGCACACAGAACAAACAAATAAAAGGAGGAGAAATAAGATTGGATTTCACAAAAATGGACAACAGTTTATCCTTACTCCTGTCCTCATATGATTTTATTTGGAAATGCTCCTGCGGGCAGCCCTTTCAAAACGGATTTCCTACATATAGCTCACTCAGAATTAATGCAGATCATTCTATGTGCTGAAGTTAAGACAAACATCCTCTTGGCAAGATCCAGAAAGACCAGAGGGTTTAGCCCACAGTGAGTCTGTGAGAGATATTTATTAAATGCCCTTTGAAGAAAAATGCAAGAGATTTAGAAGCAAAGATCCAGAATAGAGAATCTTAGACTCAGAGTATTTGAGATATTACTTACTCCATCACAAAAAAAAAAATGATTGAATACTCAGTAATATTATCAAATAAACAAAAGTCTTAAATTGTTCTCTCAGGAATATCAATGCAAAGATGGTGGCCCATTCATAAAAAATGATTATAGTTGTATATGAATTCTTGAACTTAGAACAGTAGATTAAAAAAACTTCAGAGGGGAAGAAAAAGGGGGTACTATTCCTTCTAGGAAAAACAAAAGACTCTGGAAGGAAAGATAATCCAAGAGGGTTACAAATCTCTCAAAAAAGATTAAAAAGTGGATAACTGAAAATTATCCTGACAAAGAGAACAGTGAAGTTCCCAAACAAATTAATTTCCCTTTGCAAAATCTCTCCCATGAGCCCAAATTTAAAGTGACCCTGTACAGAAGATGGAGCAAAAGAGAATATAACCAGATGACTATGGGAGCAAAAACCTGCCTTTATATGGAGACTGTCAAAAGTGGAAACCTACATCTGCTGGTTTGTCACAGAAAAGCCTACAACATGTGGTTATGAGATAATAGGAGTAGGCATAAAGAACCAGAACTACCCTTAGCACTAGTGTTCTTTGCCAAGGAGACTGACCTCAGAAGGAAGAGGGACAGAGAAACATATCAAAAAGGATACATTTCCTAGGTATGTGAGGTGAGATTAAGAACTTCCCCAAACTAGTTAAAGTCTCCAGAATCAAGTGAACTTGCATCAAAGATGCTCAGAAAATATACAAGACCACTAAACTATTACCTCAAACCAAGAAGAGATGTTTCTGGCAAATATCATTCAGGTATTAAAGCAGGGAAGAAAAGTGGATTCTAAAAACCAATTTAAGCATACCATTGGTTCTGGGAAAGAGACCAAGAAAGTTTATCAAAACAAAGATTTGTCAGTACCAGGAAACATTGATCAATAAGACCTGGGTGGCAACTAGTTAAAAAGAACTGGTCTGTCAGAAAATTTCTTTCTTTGATGCTTGATGAATGAGGCTGAACATTTACTACCCATAACTTAGTCTTGTTAATATTGTTATCCAAATTTACTTATAAAGACAAGTATCATTCTCAAAATCATGTATCTGGTAATCAGTGGGGCTAATATTTGAATCCCAGGCTGCTGGAACCCAAAGCTCAGGCTCTCTCCTACATTTGCCAAATTAAAACAATTAATTTGGTTAATTTCCACATGCATTTGACAAATGAGTGAAGTAATACCTGGATAAACCAGCCACCTCCCTAACTGGAAAGGAGCTGCCTATCACAGGGGTTTGCCCAATGATTGAGGAGCAGATAAATAGGACACTCATCAGATCTAGAGGTAATACTGAGTTGCAGCAATGGAATCATGTTGCAAATGTAATTAAGACCCCCCAAATGTCCATAGTCTGGAGTAGCAGAGTGAACCTAATGAGATGACACTTAATGGTAGTAAAAAACAAGTTCAGTGTTTAGGTCCAAATAAGAACTGTGCAAGGATGAAGGGGATATGTAAAGTTTTATCAAAAGTACAAATTTATCTTAAAATAAATGATTGTATTTGATACTGTGTATAAAGTTTAAGGAATATTATCTGTGTAATCTGAGAAAAATAATTGAATTTTTTGGAAGACCAAATTCCTTATCCCTCAAATACGGGTTATAATTTCTATATCATATGTTGTGGAAAGAGAAGATAACATCTGTCCTTGTAGTGGCTAAAATAGGTTAAGATAGTACTGTTCTGACTCCCCGTTCAGTGCTCCTTGGACTCCATCAACACCAGGCTAATGCTGCCACAATGCAACATCACAAACTCTCTCCCTAGTACACTGTACAGATTTATGCATGCTTGTATGTCCATAAATGCATTCTAATTTTTTACATAGTATTTATATTTACATAAATTACATGAGATTTATACATAACATTTGCTTTAAATCTCACATTCTGTGCATTTCTCTATTGCAAAGTAGCCATGGCCCAGGAAGCATTTGGAGCTAAAATGAAAGGCTTCATAATAAATATTACCCTTTGTGTGTGCATGGAAAATGGTCCCTTTCCCTAGTTTTCCCTGAGGGCACACTATTTTGGCTTTATTGTGACACTTCACTGTGACACTGCAATGAGGGAAAGCCATGCTTTACATGTCACTGAAAGAAATGCCACAAAATGCTAACATATCTTCTCAAGGTTGCCAGAAATAATTTCCACTGGGTTGTGTTTTCCCATCTGTGGAGCTCTGAAATGTTAAGGAAATAAATGAGCTCTATTATCTATATTTTTCTAGTAGATGAGAAAGAAAGAGAAAAAATACACTCAGCCCTGCATTTATTGTTCTATTCAATCAAACTGTTGCTTTAAACATCCAGAGTCCTCGAGGGAACTTTATCAATGCACCAAATACCTTTCAACACCATATTTCATATCTGTGGTTTTGATTTTATTAAAATATCTTTAAAGATCTGTATTTTTACTTGAGAGAAATTTTGGGTTACATAATTGAGAAATGTTTCCATTTAGAAACTCAGATTCTAATTTGAAAATGGTATTCCCTTTGATGACAACATATGGCTGAAATTTTACTCAAAACAATGATTGAGGAAAACAACAATTAGATAACATTAATGATAGACTCAGTGCTGGAAGTATGTTTAGAAGTCAAGTTCATTGACCTTTCAGATTTCAAAAAGGAATACAACAAATTAGGGAACTATGAATCCCCAAAATCTGTCCAATAACTACTGGGCTCTACAGTTTCACAGTTTGTTTTCCACAGTAATAAATTCTCAATGCAAGCTATAAAAAGATATGCAACAAATTAAAAAATGCAGGTTCGGTATAGATATACTCTGAGCACACACCTCCAAAGAATAAAATAGAAAAAGCAATGAAAGTTATGTATCCCTGAGCCTAAGGAAATTATTTATATGCTCCATTTCTGTGGAATATTCATAGTGGGTATTCCTACAGATTTCTTTTAGTTAGGAAGAATACCAGAGACTTGTGGAAAGGAACCAAGAAGTATGAATTTGAATTAAGATAATTGGCAGAATAAAACAAAGGTAGAATGATTGAAAAAGAAAAAAAATAAACTATTATTATTTTCAGAGACATGATTTTATTTAAGGGAAATCCAAAAGATTCTACAGATAAAATATTAAAAGAAGGAAGCAAATATAATGATGTCATTTAAAATTATTTGAACTTCTATAAACCATCAATAAAAATTAGGAAAAAAAACCATTTATAATGCACAGAAATATAAAATGCTTAGGAATAAACCTAACAAAAGATGCATAAAACTTATATAAAACATTTAAAAAAATTAAAAAACTAAATAGAGAAATATAAGATGTGCATGGAATAAAAGATTCAGTATTGCAAGATTTCAATTCTCCCCAAATTTATGTTAGATTCAATGCAATCTCGAACAAAATTCCAAGAATATATTTTTTAAAAATTAACAAGTTAATTCTAAAATTTGTATGAAAATGAAAAGAACTAAGAACAGCATAAACCATCTTGAAGAAAATAACAGAGTTGAAAGACTTATAGTTTTTAATGTCAAAGTTTATCATAAACCTATAGTACTTGACATAGGGTGCTATGGTGCAAGCATAAACAAATAGACCAATGAAACAGAATAGATGTTCCATCCATTGGGTCCAGAAATAGGCTCACACATATATGGTCAATTTTTGACAATGGTGTCATTGAGAAAAGGGTTGTTTCTTCAATGAATGGCACTGAGTCAACTAGGTATCTATCTGACAAAAAAAAAGGTTTTGACGTCTACCTTATAGTATATACAACAAACAATTCCGGAAGAATTATAGATTTAAAAGACTAACAAGACAGTAGAAAAAGTAAGCCACTGAATGGGAGAAGGTATTTGCAGTTCGTCTTCATTTAAAAAAAAAAAAAGGTACATACAGAATATATAAAGAATTCTTGCAAATAAATAAGAAAATGACAATCAATTTAAAAAGCGGGCAAAAGATAAGGGCAGGCACTTACAAAAGATCAGATACACAAATGAAGAAATGTTCAGGCTCTTTCAACTCCAGAGAAATGCAAAAATATATATTGGCTCCTTGGCTAATAAAGTGATAACCATAAGTGGAATCCTGTAAAACTTCTTCCTTCCCATCACCAAAATATAAATCTAAAATCTTATATTCTAGAAGGAATAGTAAAGATTAGTGCCATCCTTAAACTTAGAGGATGTATGGTCAGTGGTTCCTATAATTTTTCCATTAAATTTACCATTGCAGACCCTAATAAGAATGTTTCTGGTGATTAACAGCAGACTATCACAAACTCAAACAAATAATAGTTCTAACCACAGCAAATAGACCAAAGTATGGAATCTTTGCTTTAGTAGATTAAGACAGATTCAAATATGTATTTTTCAGTCACTGACATGGCAAATATGTTCTTTCCCATCTCTATCAGAGAACAGAACCAAGACCAGCCAGTATTCCAATGATAAGGAAAAGAGTATAGATGTAAAGTCTTGACTGCACATTTTGCTGCCCTTGATTATAATGCAGCCTGAGTAATCCAGACATCCCACAAAATATCACATTGGTAAATTATGTTGATGACATCATATTAACAAGAACAGATAATCAGAAGCAGCAAGTATTCTGGAAGTTTTGGCAAGACATCTGTGTTCCAGAGGGTGTAAGATAAACCAACAAAGATTCAGGGGCACACCATATCAGTGAAGTTTTTAGGGGCTCTGTGGACTGGAGCATTCTGTATGTCTCCATTTATAATTAAGGACAAATTATTACATCTCACATTTCCTACACTGAGACAGAAGCACAATGCCAGATTAGCCTCTTTAGGTTTGGGGGACAGCATATTCCACATGTGGGAATATTATTTGGACCCATGCATTGAGTGACAAGGGGGGTGGAAAGCTTTGAAAGGGCTGCAGAGCTGATCCAGGCTACCTTGAGATAGCCTTGCTGGTTGGACATAAAACCCAATAGAGCCTATGGTATGTTTAGAGGTAGCTGTGGCAAAAGAAAATGATACTTATGGAGTTTATGGCAATATCTAATGGAAGAATCACACACAGGCTTCTGGAGCAAGACCATGATATTGCAGCAAAGAGTCATAAATTACTTGAAAAACAGCTCTAGCAGAAATATCCCTGACCTTGAGACCAGAGCTGGCCATCATGGACTGGTTTCTGTTAGATCTACCAAGTTATGATGTCCAGCATGCGTAGAAGTAATCCATCGTAAGATGAAAGATCTAGTATTAGGCTGAAGCAAGTCTAGAGGAAACAAGCAAGATGAATGAACAGACCTCCATGACATCCACCACTATGGTGTCAGTACCTCACCCCCAGCTGCCACAGATGAACCCGAATATCAGATACAAAGGAAGAAAAGGAATGAACTTGATTTATAAGTGAGTTGGCTCAGCATCTGAGTGCAATCTGAAAATAAGCTGCTGGTCACCACTTAAGAATGGCTCTGAAAGGCTCAGAGAGAAGAAATCTTCTCAATGGGTAGAGCTACAGGACAGGGCAGGGATGCAACTGGTTCTCCACTTTGCATGAAGAGAAAAGTTGCCAAGGTAAGAAAATATATGTACCCATGGGCAAAGTGAATAGTTTAGGTAGTCAGTGGAGACAGAGAAGAATGGTTTAGCTGGACTATCAGTGACAAGAAGGTCTGAGGAAGAGGCATTTGGGTGGACTTATGAAGGTAAGGATGAAATGTGAAGGCCATTGTCTTGCATGATCACACCCACCACAGAGCACATACCAAGGAATAAACATTAAATCACCATCTAGACAGAATGACCTGGTCAGAAGTCAGCCAGCGTCTGTCTTCAGCTGTCATATGCTATTGCAGTGGAATCATTAATGGAGTAGACTCAGGGGCAGGGAATGAAGCATTGAACCGACCCCAAAACATGGATTCCCACTAAGACTGATTTACCTACTCTCACAGTACAATCTATCAGCAAAAGAAATAAATGACATGCACCCAATATGACATCATCCCTTGAGGAGACCAACTAGCCACTGGACCCTTTTTATTCTGGAAGGGGCAATAATTCAACTTGACTGGAATTAACAATATTCTGGATATGGATTTGCTTTTCTTGCCTTCAGAACCTCAGATAGTAGCACTGAGGGCTTACAGAACATTTGTTCTACTAACAAGAAATTCTCATACATCTCATTGGACCAAGGAACCCTGTTAGGAAGATGACTGTGGGAACAAAATAATTGGACACACTGTTATTATCACTTACCACACATCGCAGAAATTGCTGGCCTGATGGAGTGATACAATGGCTTCTGGAAGGCATAGCTGAGATGCTACCTTTGGAGGTGATACCCTGCCAAGATGAAATCATATGGCATTTGTTTTTCTCCATCTGATTTATTTCACTTAGCATAATACCCTCAAGGTCCATCCATGTTGTTACAAATAAAGATTTCATCCTTTTTTTATGGCTGAGTAGTACTCCATCGTGTGTGTGTGTGTGTGTGTGTGTGTGTGTGTGTGTGTGTGTGTGTGACATCATCTTTATCCATTAATTCATTGATAGATACTTTGGTTGTTTCCATATCTTGGCTATTGTGAATAGTGTTGCAAAGAACATAGAGGTGCAATAATCTTTTCAAATTAGTGTTTTTATTTTCTTCAAATAAGTACCCAGAAGTGGAATTGTTGGATCATATGGTAGTTTTATTTTTAGTTTTTTGAGGAATCTCCTTTCTGTTTTCCACAGAGGGTCCACCAATTTACATTCCCACCAACAGTGTTCCCTTTTCTCCACATCTTCACCAACTCTTGTTATTTCTTGTCTTTTTGATAATAGCCATCCTGACTGGTGGGAGATGATATCTCACTATGGTTTTGATTTTATTTCCCTGATGATTAGTGATGTTGAACATCCTTTCATATGTCTGTTGGCCAACTATATATCTTTGGAAACATATTTATTCAGATTTCTGCCCATTTTTTAATTGGATTGTTTGTGTTTTGTTGTTGTTGTTATTGAGTTGCATGAGTTCTTTATATATTTTGGATATTAACACCTTAGCAGATAAATGATTTGCAAATATCTTCTCCCAATGAGTATGTTGCTTTTATGTTTTCTTGATGATTTCTCTCACTGCACAGAAGCTTTTTAGCTTGATTTGTGCTATTTGTTTATTTGGCTTTTGTTGCCATTGCCTTTGGAATCAGATCCAGAAAAGTATCATCAAGAGCAATGCCAACAAGCTTACTGCCTATGTTTTCTTCTAGGAGTTCTATGGGTTTTGGTCCTATATTCAAGTCTTTAAACCATTTTTGAGTTAATGTGTATTGTATAAAATAGTGGTCCAGTTTCATTCTTTTGAATGTGGCTGTCCAATTTACCCAACACCATTTACTGAAGAGACTGTCCTTTCTATATTTCTATATTATTGCCTCCTTTGTCATAAATTAACTTACCATATATGTGTGAGTTTATTTCTGGGCTCTCATTCTGTTCTACTGATCAATGTTTCTGTTTTTATGCCAATACCATACTGTTTTGATTACTATAGCTTTGCAAAATAGTTTGAAATCAGGGAATGTGATGCCTCCAGCTTTGTTCTTCTTTATCAAGATTGCTTTGGCTATTCAGGATCTTTTATGATTTCATACAAATTTTATGATTTTTTTTATTTCTGTGAAAAATGCCATTGGAATTTTGATGGGGATTGCACTGAATCTGTAAAATGCTTTGGGTAGTATGGACATTTTATTTTATTTTTTAAAAGATTTTATTTACTTATTTGAGATAGAAAGAGAAAGTATGCACGAGCAGGGTGAATGGCAGAGGGAGAAGCAGACTCCCCGCTGAACGGGGAGCCCAAGGTGGGGCTTGATCCTGGGACTCTGGGATCATGCCCCCAGCTAAAGGCAGCCACTCAACTGACTGAGCCACCCAGGTACCCCTAGTATGGACATTTTAACAATATTAATTCTTCCAATCCATGAGCATGGAATATCTTTCCATTTACTCATGTCTTCTTCAATTTATTTCATCACTGTCTTATAGTTTTAGAGTACAGGTGTTTCATCTCCTTGGTTAAATTTATTCCTAGGTATTTTTTTTAATGCAATTGTAAGTAAGAATGTTTTTTAAGATTTCTCCTTCTGATAGTTTGTTGTTAGTGTATAAAAACACAACAGATTTTTATATATTGATTTTGTATCATGCAACTTTACTGAATTCATTTATTAGTTCTAAGTTTTTTTTGTTGAAGGTTTTAGAAAGATTATCTACGTATAGTATCACGTCATCTGAAAATAGTGACAGTTTTATTTCTTCCTTACCAATTTGGATGTTTTTTATTTATTTTTCTTGTTTGATTGCTGTGGCTAAGATTTCCAGTACTATGTTGAATAAAAGTGGTGAGAATGGACACCTTGCCCTGTTCCTGATCTTAAAGGAAATGCTCTGTTTTTCACCATTGAGTATGGTGTTAGTTGTGTACTTATCATATATGGCCTTTATTATGCCGAAGTACATTCCTTCTATAACTGCTTTGTTGAGCATTTTTAGCATAAATGTATGTTAAATTTTTTCAAATGCTTTCTGTGCATCAATTGAGATGATCATAAGATTTTTTATGCTTCATTTTGTTAACATACTGATTAATATGTGGGTGGTAAACCATCCTTGAATCCCTGAAATATAGCCCACTTGATCACATGTATGATCTTTTTCATGTACTGTTGAATTCAGTTTGCTAATATATTTGTTGAGGATTTTTTCATCTGTGTTCATCAGGGATATTAGACTGAAATTTTCTTTTTTGTGTGTGTTGTCCTTATCCACTTCTTTGTAGCAAGGCAATTCTGGCCTTGTAAAATGAGTTTGGAAATATTCCCTACTCTTCAATGTTTTGGATAATTTAGGAAGGATAATTATTGAATCTTCTTTGAATATTTGGTAAAATTCACCACCCAGCCATCTGGTCATCTTTATTGACCCTTTTGTCACTGGACTTTTGTTCTTTGGGAGGTTTTTGATTACTGCTTCAAGATCTTTACTAATTGAACTACTCAAATTTTCTATTTCTTCATAATTCAGACTCAGAAGATTTTGTTTCTAAGAATTTATTGATTTCTTCTAGGGTGTCATTTATTGGCATATAATTGTTCATAGTAGTCTCTTATGGTCCTTTGTATTTCTTTGGTATGGGTTGTAACTTTCCCTCTTTCATTTCTGATATTATTTATTTGAGCTTTTTTTTTTTCTTAGTCTAGCTAAGAGTTTATCATTTTTTTTTATCTTTTCAAAAAACCAGCTCTCAGGTTCACTGATCTTTTCTATTGTCTTTTTGGTGTCTATTCATTTCTGCCCTGATCTTTTATTATCTCCTTCCTTCTTTTCATTAACTTTGGGCTTCATTTGTTTCCTTTTTTCCTAGTTCCCTTTGGTGTAAGGTTAAATTGTTTATTTGAGATTTTGGGTGTAAAGTTAGATTATTTATTTGAGATTTTTCTTGTTTCTTGAGGTAGGCCTGAATTGCAATGAATTTCTATTTTAAAACTGCTTGTGCTTCATCCAATAGATTTTGGTATGTTGTATTTTCATTTTAATTTTCTCAGGTATTTTTTTATTTCTTCTTTGATTTCTTCACTGATCCATTGGTTGTTCAGTAGCATGTTGTTTAATCTCTACATATTTGTGATTTTTCCAGTTTGTTTTCTGTGATTGGTTTCCAGTTTCACACCATTGTGGTTTGAAAAGATGCTTGATATGATTTCAATCTTCTAAAATTTATTTGGACTTGTTTTGTGACCTAACATATGATCTATCCTGGAGAATGTTCCATGTGCACTTGAGAAGAATGTGTTTTCTGCTGCTTTTGGATAGAATGTTCTGTTTAGTCCATCTGGTCTAATGTGTCAATGTTTCCTTCTTGATTTTCTGTCTGGATAATTTATCTATTGATGCAAGTTGGTGTTAGAGTCTCCTACTACTACTATATTGCCATTGATTTCTCCCTTTATGTTTGTTAATACCTGCTTTGCATAATTTGGTGCTCCTATGTATGATGCATAAATATTTGTAGATGTTACATTTTCTTGCTTCATTGACCCTTTTGTCATTATGTAATGCCCAGCTTATCTTTTATTTCAGTCTTTGTTTTTAAGTCTATTTTGTCTGAAATATGTATAGCTACCCCAGCTTTTTGTTCGTTTGTTTGTTTCCATCTGCATAAAACACCTTTTTCCATCATTTCACTTTCAGTCTGTGTGTTTTCTTACATCTGAGGTAAGTCTCTTGTAGACAGCATATAGATGGGTCTTGTTTTTTGTTTTTTGTTTTTATTCCATTCATCCACTTTGTGTTTTTTGATTGGAGTATTTAGTTCATTTATATTTAAAGTAATTATGGATAGGTACGTACTTATTGCCATTTTGTTCATTGTTTTTGGCTGTTTTTGTAGTTCCTCTCTGTTTCTTTCTTCTTTTATTGCCTTCTTCCATTGTGGTTTGATGCCTTTCTTTAGTGTTATTTTTAGATTGCAGTCTCACTGTTTTTTGTGTAGCTACTATAGGTTTTCGCTTTGTGGTTACCATGATGCTTACATATATCAATGTATATAGACTAGTTTTTTTTTTAGTTGGTAGCAGGTTTGAACTAAACTGCATTTTTATTCCCCGCTCTCAAACTCTATGTTTTTGATGTCATATTACACATCTTTTTATTTTGTCTATTTATTTTTTAAAAAGATTTATTTATTTTAGAGAGAGAGAGCATGGGGGAGGAGGGGCAGAGGGGGAGGGAGAGAGTCTAAAGCAGACTCCTTGCTGATCATGGAGCCCAATTTGTGGCTCGATTGCACAACCCATGAGATCATGACCTGAGCCAAAATCACAAGTCAGATGCTCAACTGACTGAGCCACCCAGGTGCCCCTATCTTGTCTATTTCTTAACTAAGTTTTATAGTGATAGTTATTTATTTTACCACTGTTGTCTTTTAACCTTCATGTTAGCTTTATAAGTGATTACTGACTTGACTATATATTTATCTTTACCAGTGAACTTTTATTTCCATATGTTTTCTTGTCACTAATTAGTACTCTTTCTTTTGGCTTAAAGAAGTTCCTTTAACATTTCTTGTATGGCAAGTTTAGTGGTGATGAACTACTTCAGTTTTCACTTGTCTGGAAAACACTTTATCTCTCTCTCAATTATGAATGATAACCTTACCACGTATAATATCCTTGGTTAGAAGTTTTTGCTTTCAGCATTTTGATCATATCATGACACTCCTTTCTGGACTGCAAAG